CCCTCTGTTACTGTCACTATACCCCACTCCCTCTAACATGTAAACTCACTGAGCAGGGCCCTCAATAACTCTGTTACTGTGTCACTATACCCCACTCCCTCTAACATGTAAACTCACTGAGCGGGGCCCTCAATCCCTCTGTTACTGTGTCACTATACCCCACTCCCTCTAACATGTAAACTCACTGGGCGGGGCCCTCAATCCCTCTGTTACTGTGTCACTATACCCCACTCCCTCTAACATGTAAACTCACTGAGCAGGCCCTCAATCCCTCTGTTACTGTGTCACTATACCCCACTCCCTCTAACATGTAAACTCACTGGGCGGGCCTCAATCCCTCTGTTACTGTGTAAAGCTGCCACCCCTCCTCCTAACGCCCGCCAAACTCACTGGGCAGACCCATAAACCCCTCTGTTACTGTGTCACTATACCCCACTTCCTCCACAACATTAGCAACCCCACTCACTGAGCAGGGAACCTCCAATCCCTCTGTTACTGTGTCACTATGCCCCTTCCTCCTAGAGATGTAAACTCACTGAGCAGGCCCTCAATCCCTCTGTTGCTGTGTCACTATACCCCACTCCCTCTAACATGTAAACTCACTGAGCAGGGCCCGCAATCCCTCTGTTACTGTGTCCACTATACCCCACTCCCTCTAACATGTAAACTCACTGAGCAGGGCCCTCAATCCCTCTGTTACTGTGTCACTATACCCCACTCCCTCTAACATGTAACCTCACTGAGCAGGGCCCTCAATCCCTCTGTTACTGTGTCACTATACCCCACTCCCTCTAACATGTAAACTCACTGAGCAGGGCCCTCAATCCCTCTGTTACTGTCACTATACCCCACTCCTCCTAACATGTAAACTCACTGAGCGGGCCCTCAATCCCTCTGTTACTGTGTCACTATACCCCACTCCCTCTAACATGTAAACTCACTGAGCAGGCCCTCAATCCCTCTGTTACTGTGTCACTATGCCCCACTCCCTCCTAACATGTAAACTCACTGGGCAGGACCCTCAATCCCTCTGTTACTGTGTGCTATGCCCCACTCCCTCCTAACATGTAAACTCACTGAGTGGGCCCTCACGCCCTCTGTTACTGTGTCACTATACCCCACTCCCTCTAACATGTAAACTCACTGAGCAGGGCCCTCAATCCCTCTGTTACTGTGTCACTATACCCCACTCCCTCTAACATGTAAACTCACTGAGCAGGGCCCTCAGTCCCTCTGTTACTGTGTCACTATACCCCACTCCCTCTAACATGTAAACTCACTGAGCAGGCCCTCAATCCCTCTGTTACTGTGTCACTATACCCCACTCCCTCTGACATGTAAACTCACTGAGCAGGACCCTCAATCCCTCTGTTACTGTGTCACTATACCCCACTCCATCTAACATGTAAACTCACTGAGCAGGGCCCTCAATCCCTCTGTTACTGTGTCACTATACCCCACTCCCTCTGACATGTAAACTCACTGAGCAGGACCCTCAATCCCTCTGTTACTGTGTCACTGTACCCCACTCCCTCTAGCATGTAAAACTCACTGAGCAGGGCCTCAATCCCTCTGTTACTGTGTCCACTATACCCCCTCCCTCTAACATGTAAACTCACTGAGCAGGCCCTCAATCCCTCTGTTAGTGTCTCACTATACCCCACTCCCTCTAACATGTAAACTCACTGAGCAGGGCCCTCAATCCCTCTGTTACTGTGTCACTATACCCCACTCCCTATAACATGTAAGCTCACTGAGCAGGGCCCTCAATCCCTCTGTTACTGTGTCACTATACCCCACTCCCTCTAACATGTAAACTCACTGAGCAGGGCCTTAATCTCTTTGTTACTGTGTCACTATACCCCACTCCCTCTAACATGTAAACTCACTGAGCAGGGCCCTCAATCCCTCTGTTACTGTGCCACTATACCCCACTCCCTCTAACATGTAAACTCACTGAGCAGGCCCTCAATCCCTCTGTTACTGTGTCACTATACCCCACTCCCTCTAACATGTAAACTCACTGAGCAGGTCCTCAATCCCTCTGTTACTGTGTCACTATACCCCACTCCCTCTAACATGTAAACTCACTGAGCAGGCCCTCAATCCCTCTGTTACTGTGTCACTATACCCCACTCCCTCCAGCATGTAAACTCACTGAGCAGGGCCCTCAATCCCTCTGTTACTGTCACTATACCCCACTCCCTCTAGCATGTAAACTCACTGGGCAGGGGCTCAGTCCCTCTGTTACTGTGTCCTTATACCCAGCTCCCTCTAACATGCCAACCTCACTGAGCAGGGCCCCTCAATCCCACTGTTACTGTGTCACTGCCACCCCACTCCCTCTAGCATTAAGCTCACTGAGCAGGCCTCAGCCCCTCTGTTGCTGTGTCCTGCCCCCTCCCTCTAACATGTAAACTCACTGAGCAGGGCCCTCAATCCCTCTGTTACTGTGTCACTATACCCCACTCCCTCTAACATGTAAACTCGCTGAGCAGGGCCCAATCCCTCTGTTAGCACTGTAAACTCACTGAGCAGGCCCTCAATCCCTCTGTTACTGTGTCTCTCCCTCTAGCATGTAAACTCACCCCCAATCCTCTGTTACTGTGTCACTATACCCCACTCCCTCTAACATGTAAACTCACTGAGCAGGCCCTCAATCCCTCTGTTACTGTGTCACTATACCCCACTCCTCTAACATGTAAACTCACTGAGCAGGGCCCTCAATCCCTCTGTTACTGTGTCACTATACCCCACTCCCTCTAACATGTAACCTCACTGAGCAGGGCCCTCAATCCCTCTGTTACTGTGTCACTATACTCCCTCTAACATGTAAACTCACTGAGCAGGCCCTCAATCCCTCTGTTACTGTGTCACTATACCCCACTCCCTCTAGCATGTAAGCTCATTGAGCAGGGCCCTCAACCCCTCTGTTCCTGTGTGTCCAACTTGTCTGGTTACAACTACATGTCTGTTCGTCCACCCATTGTAAAGCGCTGCGGAATTTGATGGCGCTATATAAATAACATATTAATAACAATGGTAAAATAGTCCCGCTCTGACTACCTGTGGCTGTATTGGAGGATGTTTTCACATTGCGTGGTTTTGCAGTTTAGGTTTTCCGGTCGCTTCAATTCACTGTTTAGTGAGAATACCCATCCGATGCAGAGTCTACATTAATCATTGTGTACACGTAGCACTTTACATATTACAAAGAGATCTTACGCACATTTGTAAAGTGACAGGAAACTCCTCGTTAATACAATGACCTATAAGAGGGCATAGGAGATAATGGGGATAATAAAGCTAACACAACGTGCTTTAAAAAGTTCTCCTATTAAGCTTTAGTTCACAGTTTGCAGTTTTGGAGTTTAGTAAATAAACACATTTAGTAAGAAGTAGTTACGGTAAAACAATGAAGTCAATTAATGTCCACTTTAAGCAATAACTCCTTACAGGCCTGCAGGATGAGAGAATTTGGGGTTTATTAAAGGTAAATGCAAAATGTGGGGAGTTGAAGACTGAACTGTAACGTTTAGAAAATAATATGGATTTGGCAGAGTATTTTAGTCTCGTTTTAAAATGTCATTCTTTATTCTTCCTGAGTGTCTCAAAGGAATAATCACTAAACGGGTCCTGAAACTAAATCCAGCGCCTTATCCTGCTCTTAAGACTTTAGTATCTGATGCAATATTTTATTAAGATGACACAGACCAATAAAACATATAAAAACCTCTTAGGAGAGTCAGAAAATGAATAAAACCTTTTGGGTGTAAACCGAACCAAAATGCCTCCCTTCTCCTGAGTTTTTATTACTTTGATGTAATATTTAGTATCCTGTTCTGGGTCTGAGATCTGTTTAAACACCTGGCGCTGTATAAATACAGAGCGTTATACAATATGTTTCTTATAGCTGCTGTAAAACTACCTTGCCATGCCGACAATCACATGGCGGTCTGATAGTGAAGGAGCAAAATAGAATATGTAGGGAACTGCACTCATTCCCATCGGTCTGAGCCAGGGTGCTTTATCTGTACCAGGAACCAAACACCAAATCCCAAATATTGTAAAGAAAAATAGAGGTCCAGGCACTCCTTGGTTCAAAAGAAAGGTACGTTAATGGAACCCCAGCAACGTTTCATCCAAAAGGTCTTTATCAAGCTCATAGTGAAGGATTGTCCGGAGCGCACAGAAAGCTAACATTTCAAGTATTACGTGAAGAAAAAAGGAAAAAAAAAAACCTTACAGTTTAATTTTGAATTTACCGTTCAGTAAAGATATCCCTGCAACTTAATAAGAGTGTATTCTTATTAAATCTACCATTCAGTGATTTAAAGCATACTGGCATAAGCCGAGAGAGCGTACTGCCCAGGGAGTGCGGGTTATAGAGAACGTACTGCTCAGGGAGAGCAGGTTATAGAGAGCTGGAGAGAGCGTACTGCTCAGGGAGTGCAGGTTATAGAGAGCTGGAGAGAGCGTACTGCTCAGGGAGTGCGGGTTATAGAGAGCCGGGTAGTGTGTAATGATCAGGGAGTGCAGGTTGTAGAGAGCTGGAGAGAGTGTACTGCTCAGAGAGTGCAGGTTATAGAGAGCCAGAGAGAGCGTGTACTTCTCAGGGAGTGCGGGTTATAGAGAGCTGGAGAGAGTGTACCGCTCAGAGAGTGCAGGTTATAGAGAGCTGGAGAGAGTGTACTGCTCAGGGAGTGCAGGTTATAGAGAGCCAGAGAGAGCGTACTGCTCAGAGAGTGCAAGTTATAGAGAGCCTGCGAGAGCGTACTGCTCAGAGAGTGCAGTTTATGGAGAGCCGGAAAGAGCGTACTGTTCAGGGAGTGCGGGTTATAGAGAGCCAGAGAGAGTGTACTGCACAGGGAGTGCAGGTTATAGAGAGCCGGAGAGAGCGTACTGCTCAGGGAGTGTGGGTTATAGAGAGCCAGAGAGAGCGTACTGCTCAGGGAGTGCAGGTTATAGAGAGCAGGAGAGAGCGTACTGCTCAGGGAATGAGGGTTATAGAGAGCCGGAGAGAACGTACTGCTCAGAGAGTGCGGGTTATAGAGAGCCAGAGAGAGCGTACTGCTCAGAGAGTGCGGGTTATAGAGAGCCAGAGAGAGCATACTGCTCAGGGAATGCGGGTTATAGAGAGCAGGAGAGAGCATACTGCTCAGGGAATGAGGGTTATAGAGAGCCGGAGAGAGCGTACTGCTCAGGGAGTGCAGATTAGAGAGAGCCAGAGAGAGCGTACTGCTCAGGGAGTGCGGATTAGAGAGAGCCGGAGAGAGCGTACTGCTCAGGAAGGGCAGATTATATAGAGCCGGAAAGAGCATACTGCACAGGTTTCTTTTCTTAATGTGTGCGCTTTTATTTAAGAACATGTTGCAATGACGCTCTTTTAATTCCAGTGAAGAGTTTAACAGTGTTGGGTTTAGTTACATGTTAAAGGATCACTAAGACATTAATAAATCTTAAAAATACATTGAGAAAGTCGCAGCAGAGCGGCCTGAAACGATATCATTATTCCAAACTCACCTGTAACCCAGTCCTGGGACATACTCCTCACTCTTAGTAACACAATTTAAAGATTACATTTTCTATAAAATGACAGTCATAAAACATTAAATGCTTAAATGGCTCCTCTCTTAATACAGTAAATTCAATCTATTCATTGCACAAGCCGGTATGATGGAACTTTTCGGATTATTAAACTGTTCTCTCCATTTTTTCCAGAGTGTGTTTAGAATGTTCTTTTTATGGAAAAAACACCCTGTCCCAAGTTTGCCCTGGAGACATCCGTATTGTTGGCACAGGTACCTGTTTGGGCAAACTGAATTCCAGTTGCTCTGTGCATCCTTTAAATTCAATGCAAACATCTCCCACTCCCTATACAACAAGAGAGAGTCCTTAACGTTACAGTAAGAATTCTGGATAATCATAGTCTAACAGCGGACTTTGTTACAAGGACCATAGAACGTTTCACAATACGGGTGACTTAATTCACCACGTTACAAGAGGTCTTTATTTAGTAGAAACAACAAAAATCAAGTGAAACAGATTTCAGAACTGAAGTTTTTATTGCAAAATATTAAAAATAAATTACACTATTTTACAGGAGTATCAGATATTTACATACAGTGATTCCAGTGGCACATTAAAAACAAAGTACAACAATAAAAATATACATCTTGTAATGAGAGAGCTTACATCTCCACTAAAGTCCCATTTTATGGAATTTATTACATAAGAATAGGGGGCAGTGGCACAGAAGACATCTGGGAGTGAATAAAAAGGAACATTATATATATTCTGCCCAGCTCTTAGATCAGGTTATCACACTGTAAAAAGTGTACCGTATTGTAATAAAATAGTTTGGGGATTTAAAAAACATACAAGGAAAAAAACACTGAAATGTTTAAGGAAACAATATAGAGGTTGGAGTTTGAAAACAACATTGTGAGTTCTTGCATTGTAGAACATATTACGTCTATTAGACAATACTTTATGATCTGGAACAGAGTAATAATCCAAAGACACAATCTGAGCGCATACTAACTAAATACTGTCTGCAGAGAAGTTGTGGGTCCGTTCTTTTATCCCAGTTTTGCATTCTGTTATGAGATAGGCATTCGACTTATTGCTGTATACGTGTTGCCTGAAATATTGTAAATCAACCATTGAAAGGACAACTGCCGTAAAATTTTATCATCTTGTTTTTTTACAAAAAAAAAAAAAGTATATTTAATGACACTTAATGATATATTTAAATGCTATGTATCAATTATTTCAAGAAGGTTTCACTTTCATGAGTTTCTTTAAAAGTAAGAAATGAAGAGTGAAAAATTGCTGATGGTTGTCCTTTAGGTTTTGCAGATTTTCCAGGTTTACTTGATACATTGTTTCCCGATGGACCTGGTATTATGACAAACACTGACATCATCCAAAAACGGCATGATTTTACCCACTAAAAGCAAAAAGTTTAACAATGGCTGGACAGACCTTAAACAGACATGTACTGTACCAATACAATAGAGGTTCATGATCCCCCCAAATAGTTATCTAGCCCTTTGAGGAGGACAAAGGCACGCAGTGGTTAAATTGTGGGAGATGCAGCAAATAAGCTGTCTAAAAGGTTACATTTAAATTCACTGACAAAGGTAAATGTGAGCCCCATGGAAACAACAGACGAGGGTAGTTATGGTTTTTAGGAATATAGGGGTTTGGCAGTCATTTACTAGCAGACAATTCAGTTCTGGTCATTTTTATACATCTGACTAACAGACAGATCCTGTGTCAAAATAAAGAAAATTTGTTCTGGATTCTAGGAGAGTGATCTCAAATATGAAAAAAAAAAAAAAAATACTAAACCAGATATTCTAAAAATGTGCTCCTCAAATAACAATACTGTGGAACCAACACATTGTAACAAAATGAAACACGTTTTCTGGAGTGCGTGTACGAGCTCACCATTAATGGCAAGTATTAGGGTATAAAAGAGTGGTTTAATAAATACTATAATGAACGATTAAAGGCCTGATATAATACAACGTCTGCTGATTCCAAGATACTGGTTTCAAAATCTATTTTGAAGAACACCCCAAGAATTGTCAACTACCTCGTAACCATACATAAATCAATACTATATGTAGAATTCTTGAAAAATAAGTTATCACTAAAAGATGTGGTCTACAACTATTTCAATATAACATTTTTCTTAACAATAAGGAGTGCTTACCGATTGCAAGTCGCAGAATAAAACAGAGGATTAAATGTAAGGCATGATGTAATCACTCAGATCTACTTTGGAAGCTAATCACCATTATCACATGCATTTATACAAATATCTAAAATAAAGGTGGTTCAGTAAATGAGCAAAACACTGACTGTTTCGCCCATCGAAAGAACGGAAAACCTTCACTAGTGTCGAACTGGTCTATGGTGGGTCTTCCTTTCCCCCTTAGATATCTCTAACTATAGTTTTTAGGATGAGATGACCAAAGGCAAGACGAACAAAATACACACGTTGATAGCATCAATTTCTTGTTCAATTAAAAAAATATCAAGACTAGTGGTAGAGTGACCTAGCCGAGATGTCTCTATAGCCGTCGAAATGACTACAGTATCTTCATACAAACATAAATAACATTGTACACTAGCTATAAGCAGCATTTATATCTACAAACAAAAAATATTGGTGCGGAAAGCATATGATTATGAATACCAACCTTCCCATCAACAGATCTCATATCATATGGTCAAAATTTACATACAGAAAGGTGTTGAAAAAAATCCTAGCCAGCATGATTTTGGTTCATTTCGGGACTTGGATAGCAGCTATTCCGACACTAGTTAGAATTGGATCTCAACCGTCAGTTGTGAATCAGACGAGGCAGGTTGGGAGGACAGTTTTGGTCTACTGGGTCCTCTAGTGTTTTAAAAATGAGGAGCATGCGTGTAATTCTGAATTTTTGCACAGTGGTTTCAAATGTCAGTGACATTCACCTGAAACAAAACCCTTTCTGACAACCTCCAAGATAACTAAACGCATGAATTTCTTATTGTTTTTATACATGTCAAAAAACATTGCCATCGAGGTTTATTACAAATATCAACCAGCTGCTTGTCTAATTTTTAGAGATAGAACCAGCTCTTTACTCCTCATGAAAAAAAAACAAAAAAACTTTTTATAAACCAGGACATCAGAACGTCTTACTAGTATATCAAAAAAATTCACATTTAACTAAAAATGCTGCCCAGTGAAAATGTCAAAGTACAAGAAAATCCTGAATCATAAAAAAATATTAAAAATAAAATAACACACACACACACTGCAGAAAATGTTGGAAGCAGAGTGTAGGCCATATGTTAAAAAAATATTTCTGGAAGACTATACACCGATTTACTTGCAAAAATAACCTGATATATATGTTGGTTATTTGCCCACATTAAAAAAAAAATGTGATATCAAAAAAGTATAAAACTTCTAAAAAAACAAACACTGGAATGTTTTAACAAGCAGTGGGAAAGGACATTATCATAATCTATTAATCGCATGCCATCAATGTCCTGTTAATGATTAAAAAAAGGTAAGAGACACACAGAACATATGGTAGCGCCAACATCGAAAAGGACTGACAGAAAAAGAAGAAAAGGACTTAGTTTCTACAAAATGACATTCATTAGATCTGGAATTGCAAACTATAGGGCAAAATATCTTAATTGAAAATAAATTCTCAAAAAGACATTTTTAGAGCTTGGTTATTTTAACACGAAGTTTGCAATTCCCATTTCAATTTTCCTCAATTTACAATTTGGAAAATGCGACCTTAAGTATGCAGCATAAAACGGTGTATACAACAAGTCAGCCAATGATTCTGCAAATGAAACGTTTCACACCCAGCTGTCCATGACGAAGCAGCAGCAGGAATCAGACGGAACCCTCGATGAGTTACAGCTGCCAATTTGCATTACTGGGAAAACAGTCAGTTGGAGGACGACCATAACTCAGCACATGCTAAAAGACCAAACTGCAAATATTCAACGAAACCAAAATCAGTCCTTTCATAGTTTCACAGCAAATGCTTAAAGTTGAAATAATGTAATTCTCACAAATGACTACTTGCATCGTATGTTTAGGCAATTTATCACACAAGGTCTATTGGAATCCCTGATTACCGTTTGGCTCGGATCTTTACCAGAAGCCAAAGGATTACAATCAACTTTGAACTTCCCTCACTGAAAGCTCTGGAGTGTTAAGTTCACAGTAATAACCTGGATACAGTTTAAAGCTGCTCGGTCACTTTTTATTCCCCCCAATTAATGTATGTTGTTGCACTAGTGTGCAGGCCCATTTTATTTTTTTATTTAAATAATTTTTCCAAATGTTACAAATAAAAAAACGTAGGGACTTCTTTTCCTTATGTATAATGTGCAGGTTGACAAAAGTTGACAATGGTTGGAGCTTTAGTCTAGTTACACTTCCTTTGTAAACTGTGTCATTGACCGTCAACGTAATACTCACCTCCTTCCAATGACCTAAAAGGCAGCATCGTAGGATCACTGCTGTAATGCTCTAAGCAGGCCGCTGAATGTCCTCCACTGGAAGGACAGAAACCGAAATTTCTGGCACCCGCCATCTTGGAATTACAAAGATGGTAGTGCGATGTGAATTTAGACCAAACAAGGCCAGTACAACCTCAAATAAAGTAAGTAGCACAAGTCCAGAGGTCACTATTTGTCATTGGGGGAGGAATAGATTGGCCAGGGCTTAGGGGGCTGGTGAAATTAAGTGACAAACACTTTAATATCTAGTCTAGCTTTTGTAGATGATTTTCTATAAACCCTTAATTTATCAAAGACTAACTAGAGGTTAGCTGCCAGGATTGCAGCACTTTGAAGGCAATAAATGACCAATAAAGGAAGACACAATAACAGAACTAGAAAACTCTTTGATCATTATGGGCATGTGTGCAATTTGTTGCAATCTATGACCCAAAAAAATAAACCCATAACTTTCCCCATTCCTTCCAGTGAATATCTTCTTTCCTTTATAAATTGATCTACAACAGAAGGTTCAAGTTTCATGTACAGTACCGTCTGTGCATAGAGAGAGATCACAGCTCCTGTCTCTCTACAAAGACATTTTAGCATATAAATAGAATATACAGACATCAACATATCTGGTAGACAAAATACAATTTGTACATATAAAAAAGGCAATAGTTTGTTAATTTCAAGTATTTTCATGAGAAGAAAAGAAAAATTGTAAAAGATAAAAAGGGAGATAAAATGGAGAAGGAATCACAGAATTCCTGGAATGTGTCTCCGGAGGTGGCACCTTCCGCCCTCAAAAATGACCAGTGTATAACCAGAATATATTACTGTTACTCACGGGGTGTCCATGAACGGCATTAAAAAAAAAAAAAAAAGGCTTTCGGTGTAACAATTTATAATTTCGTTTGGATTAAATAAAATATGTTCCTTTTGTGACAAACACCACATTCTTAGAATAGGCTTTACCAGAACCAGTAAAGGATGAACATTAAATGTCTATCTAGACAGAGGGCAATTTACATTTATGATTTTTTTTTAGCATGGATTTCACACCTTCCTGTCATGAGGGAAAGTGAACTCCTATTTGCTCATCCTGCAAGTCTCTACATTGCCAGATCAAGATTAGGTACTAGGTAAGGCTGTCTCCGCTGGGCCATACCAAGAAAATAGTGCACATGAGAAGAGAAGTTTAGGCTAGCTTCGAACATGGCTTAGACTAGATGGGCAACAGATACATTTGAACAGTTTCAGAGCACCTAGTTCTGAAAGGTTTCAGGTCAGTCATGGTGAAAAAAAAAAAAAAAAGATAAAGTCCAACTATTAGATATGTACCCTTAACTGTTCTTCGATGGTTCTAAATCACCCACCACAGAGACCTCATGTCTCTCCTTTGTTGTGTTCGAGTTTATTGAAGTCATTCAGTAGCTGTTCATAGGGCACACAAACTTCCATTTCATTGCTGGAAAAAGAAGACTCATCCAAACAGGTGAACTCGTCCAACCTGGTTGGTGTCTCTGGGTGCCCAGTATTTTCCTCACACGAGGTCTTTGATTTCTCCTCATCCTCAGAAAGGTCACATTCTTCCTCCTCGTTGACAAAAGAGATATTAGCATTCTGGAATATCAAAGGCTTGTAATCTTTAGAATCCCACAGTTCTCCCTCTTCCTCACTAATCCGGTCTAACTGGTTTATAAAAATACTTGAGTCTTTGTCTTGGAAGGATTTCATACCAAAGTCTTTTTGAAGACCGTTCGAAAAAGTCACTCCATCATAGCCAGAACCGCCATGCTTGCTATATGAAACCATAATGTCTTTGCCTCGTGTCTGCATTTTACTATTGCCAGCTGTATTACCATTCATTATCATTTGCCCGTCTTCGGTTTTCAAACCATTTTTTCCTATTTGCTTTATCAAATCATTGTAGGTTTCTTCTTTTTTAGACAGAAAACTCATAATATTGACGTCTTTGGAATTTGCAATCGGAATAGGCTTGTCCTTCTTGGTGCGCGGATCTATTTCAAATGACTCTTTCCGCCTTTTCCTCCTCTTTTTAATAGCTTTGTGTACCTCAACAAACATGCTGACTTTCCAGTTTATAAAGAGTGAAAGCCAGGCCAGGCCCAAGTAGATCCAGAGCTCCACAAAATATCGATACAGGACATTGTAGTTGATATCTGGATTCACACCTGTCAAACGAATGAGCCCAAAAAATAAGGTGTTAGAAATAGCAGTGGATCCAGAATACAGATACAAAACAGACCAGCTGAAGAATATTTAGGGTAGAAATTGTTGTGTGAGCAAGTGAATCAAAGATTAGAAACAATATGAAGACTAAAGATAGATTTTGTGGACTGAATGAAGAAAAAAAAAAAAACAGACGTAAGTGGGGTTAGTGCACATGTACATCATTTACTTGTTGAAGAATTACATTTAACAACATTGGAAAAGGTTTGGCTACAGTTCCTAATATTTAATACGTTAAAAACAGATAATCATTTAGAAATCTTGGCAAAAATAATGATTTAAGTGGAGAGAGAAAAGGTGGGAGTGTGGGGAGATGACAGAAGGAAAATCTATGGAAAATAAGCAGATTTCTGTTTTAAGAAAAAATGAAGTATCAGTACTGCTGAAAGCTAGAGTATCGGTATTTGATGTATAAATTTATAAATAAATATAACAGTTAAAAGAAATTACTGACATGCTTTGAGATATAAATTACTTTTTCTGTTCCTTCATGATTTTTAGCACTATACTACATATTCTCACTAAAACACACACACACACACACACACACACACTTCGTTCAGTAAACCCACCCTGATTGGCATGCAGCCAATAAAACATAGCGATGCCCACTGTGTACTAGCAGTGAAATGAGTCAAACTCTATATAAATGAAATGCCAAACTACTAACCTGCCACGTAATCCCCAAAGCCAATCGTAGTGATGGTGATGAAGGAATAGTAAAGACCTTCGATGTAGGTCCAACCTTCAGTTTTCATGAAGATGAACGGAGGGATCATTAAATGGACCAGGACGCCCCAAATAATGAAAATTGCTGTGCAGGTAATCTGAGCTGTTCTCTAAGAAAAAAGGATAGGAAAAATGACTCCTCTGTACAGTAACACAGAAAAAGTCATTTGTATGTTACACGGTAAGTTAAAGGAGCACTCTGATAAAAAGAGAAACTCAAATTTGCTGTGTGTGCTGACGCAGAATGCAAAGTCCTTCAATATTTGAAGGACCTGAAGGAGGAGGCGGTCTGACAAAAAAAAAAGGGAGTATTTGGCTAAATTAAAACATTGCCATTTCTCAGTAAACAGCGACGTTTACATAAAAGTGAGGATGGTTTAGAAATGGAGCAATTACCATGGAAACCAATACTCTCCAGGCAATCAGCCAGAGCGGCCAAAAAAGGAGGACTTTTCCATAGGAGGGTGAGAGAATGAGTTTGTAAAATCGGTAAAAAGAAACCAAGTTAAAAAATCCAACAGAGAGTCTACCGACATGGACTTAATTTACCCAATGTATCAAGGTCATAGAGCCTTTAAAAAGGAAATATTTTAAGTAACTAAGGATGACTGCAGATCTAAGGGACCACAGCTGATGGAAACATGTACGAATGTCCGTGTATGTGATGGTTATTGAATACATAAACCACCTTATTAATAAGACACTATTTATAAACAGCTGGACGGCATGTGGTCATATCGCATGATAGGGAGACGAAAAACCTCATATGTGGAACATCTGCTGGAGGGGAAAAACATATATATGTATATATATATAATCTGATCTGCCACCTGTGCTTTCCGTACATTTCCCAGACTTGCTCAAATCTTCACAGGGGATAGAGTTTCTTGGAAGTTTTAGAATTTTAAGCTACCGTGGATCGTGTGTTTTGGACGAACTATGGGAAGGTGTTTGCCCCCAGCAGTACATTGAGTGGCATGTAAATATTTACGTAAAAGATATACGGGGTATGAAACTTGGAAGAAGACAAATTCACTAACATCATCGGGTTTAACAGATTTCAGATACGGCAGTTTGAGAGTCATTTTACTGCTTTGTATGTAATGTATAAACATGCACATCAATAAAGAAACTGGAAGATTATTGATACGTTCTACGTTTCTATACATGCCAAAATATTTCAAAGGCGGCTTCTTACAAGGTCTGATAATAGCAAGCCTTCTGCTGAGAGTCCTCCTTTGGATTCGTGCCCAAGCAGATAACAAGTGTGCGGAGGGGGGGTGTACAGTGCATATTTAAAACTTTCCATTACATATTGTATTCTGTATTACTGCATCTTGCACAGAAAAACTTAAAACAGAGATGTTACCCTAAAAAGCTTTCCATTAGAAAAAAAAAAATTGCAACATAAAAAAAGAAAAAATGTTTGAGATGTATTATATAGATTTATCTAAAAAATAACTGAGCTATTTCTATATGTAAGAAAACAGGGGATGTGTAACAGATCTGCCCGTCTAATGTAGGGTTTCTCTGTGCATTGAGACATTTCCAGTTATTTCTATTTAAGTTAAAAATCGATTGGCTGCACAGGTTTTTCTTTTCAATACCTACCAAGGAGACGCCTCGTTTTGTCAGAAACACGCCCAGACGCTTTGCTCGGCCACCAAAGAACTTGCCAAGTGCACTGATCCATGTCAAGCAGAGAGGGACCCCGAAGAGGCCATAGAATATACAGAACAGGCGCCCAGCTGGTGTCTTGGGAGCTATATTACCATAACCTAAACAGGAAAAGAAAAGTCAATAAATCAAAATGTATTAAATAAGGCTTCCCTGTGTGAGTGTAAAACCTGTGAAACAAACCACCCCATTTCATCTATCTGTGCGCCAACTGTCTGACAATTGGCTCTCCAATTTATATGCAGCAATATTAGAGATATTATTATGTGACTCTGGGCACTGAAAAACATACATTATATTTGGCATCCATCTATTCTTAGATCGTATAAACAGAGCAAGTGCTGCATCTGTGCGTTCGTATCAGTACTGTTATACCAAAGGAATAAGTATTGTTTTAGGGTTAAGACATTAATAACACCAAGATAAATCATTTAGGGTCGGAATTCGGGAAAAATCATAAGGTTACTCCAACCAGGGTGACCGCTTCTGCTTTTTGGAGTGGTCATGGTGATAGGAGTCTAGAAGTGCAGTGTTTCCACTTAAAACGCTGCACATCCAGAGACATTGGTAACGGTGTGCTCGAGGCAAGTTGCACCCACAGCACACATAACTTAGACAGCCCAGAACTTCTAGGCTGTCGAATGTCAAATATGTGCATATGTCATCCACGTGCACAACATGCCGTGTCCAATTCCCTCCATCCTCCCGGTCCCCCTCCATTACATTTTTAATTCTCTGCCCTCCCTCATCCTCTATTCCCTCCCTCCCATCACTGGCTCAGAACATGTATATGCGTTTTGAGCTAGTAAAACGGCCAATCAAAGACTTCTCTACAAGAAAGCTTTGATTGGACCTCAGAGGAGTAACGCCGGGAGCTTTGCCCGGAATAAAGGTTAGTAAACATAATAAAAAAAAAAAAAAACCTAACCAAAAAAAAAAAACACTTTTGAGCATTTTTGTGGGGAGACTTATTGAATAATGCCAATGGGACATAATGCTTATCACAACAAAAAAAGGTTGGAGTAACGCTTTAATGATGACATGTTAGAATTTACTCCAATGTTTATTTAGGGTTAGTATTGCAAAGTCAAGTAGAATACGTTTATAGCAATTAGCTTCTAAGCATTTTAGTAGGTCTGTGGACAATTATAGAAAGGAATTCAACACAAGGATCTTCACATGGATCTGTCTGTAATAAAAAAAACAAAGAAAACTCTCTTGCATACAGAGTCTTCAAAACACACGCTGTCTGCCAAACACTTTGTATTACTACAAGGACAAACTACCAAGATCTTGGGACCATTCATGGTCGAATTTGAGAGACACTAAGTGAAGAGATCCCTCACCGATTGTAGTGATGACTGTAGCAGAGAAGATGACAGCATTTGGCCAGTTCCAGTTGTTGAATGTATGGTTTCCTGTAATAGCAACCCCTTGTCCAGCAGCATTTGACACGACCTATGAAACACAAAGTAAACAGTCAGCATCGGTGAAGACAATTTAGGTTTAAACACACAGGAAAAAACAAAGTCTATAGCATGAACCATCCAATTAAGGGTTAATATGTTCTTAAATCGGGTAGAACAAACATGTAAATATATGGAGATTTTGGAACCAGGGTGGAATATATCACCAATGACCTCATCAGCAGCACTGTATGAGGACATACCTCATTGTAGGAGTTTGCAAGCACCTACTGACGTTTCCCTAATTTCTATCATGGAAAAAGTCTAGAGCCCAACATGTTGAGAGCGAACGAAAAAAGAAAATGATAACGCTTTATATTGTGGAAAGAGATTTTAATGGCAGAAACTCAGATTAAAACACATGTAAATACACTCATTCATTCTGAAATCTAATCAGTGCAGATAAGACCAGAAGAAAAATGGGCCAAGGAAAGTGTGCCAGACTCTACCTAGTACCATTTAGTGCCTTACTCCTTTGAGCAGCATGGGCTGGTAACATTCTCTCAGGAAGAATGAGAAGGCAGAACTAGGAGAAAGGCAATTATTCAACTATACTGGCCAAGAATCCCCGCTAATCGCACACCCCTCCAACAATTCTGTGAATAATGTTCTAATTCACGCAAGTTAATGAAAAACAGCTTAACGGTTCTGAGAAATGATGACATTGTTCCAGTTAACTGTATCCTCAAAAGCTAGAGGAGGAGCCATCTAACACTCCAAAAATGATTACACTGTTTCGCTCTAATAAATGCAGTTTAAATAAAACATCACAAGTAAAGTATATGTAGGGAAAAGTGTCGAAAACAAATGGTGGATTACTGACCACTTTCATTAGGTAAAAATTTTGATTAATGCCAGGCCCAAAAACGAGATTGAAAAGTGATGATCCTGTAAACATCAGTTCAAATAGAATCTGCTTTTATACTAGAAGTCCTTGCACAGTTTACAGAAATAATTGTAGACAGCCACCCAAACAAAACAAAGAAATTTGAGTGCTCACACAGCTCCTTTTGCCATTGAGATTCATGGTTGCTTCTGATAATGCATGAACATATATCATACATTACAACAGTCCCCTAAACGGTCTAGGGGGGAGCGGGGGGGCGATGTGGACAGATAGATGTAAAGGGATTGTTCTGTTTAACAAGTGTGGGAGATGTGGACAGGTTGAAGTTAGGAGATGGTCTTGTTTAACCAGTGTGGGAGATATGGACAGGTAGAAGTTCAGAGATGGTCTTGTTTAACCAGTGTGGGAGATATGGACAGGTAGAAGTTCAGAGATGGTATGGTTTAACCAGTGTGGGAGATATGGACAGGTAGAAGTTCAGAGATGGTATGGTTTAACCAGTGTGGGAGATATGGACAGGTAGAAGTTCAGAGATGGTATGGTTTAACCAGTGTGGGAGATATGGACAGGAAGAAGTTAGGAGATGGTACTGTTTAACCAGTGTGGGAGATATGGACAGGTAGAAGTTAGGAGATGGTCCTGTTTAACCAGTGTGGGAGGTATGGACAGGTAGCAGTTGGGAGATTGTCTTGTTTAACCAGTGAGGGTGATATTTTATCCATTAGACTGTGTGGACAGTTGAAGCTAGACATTTAATAGAGCAACATACCAGAAATAGGTTTTTATTTGAGATTTATTTATTTTTAAAATTTTTCATAGCTCATTACTTACATCTGTACAAAGAAAAGCAATCCCTGAATACCCAAAATTGCATCCACCTCATAGGCGTGCGCACGGGGTGTGCCTAGGCACACCCTTATCCCTGCGGCACGTGTTATGTGCATCCCTCCGTGGGGAGGGAGGCAGGAGAGGACCTGGGGAGCTCTTGTCAGCAGCTCCGCCGGGTTCCTCTCGCATGGTCGGAGCATTACCGTGGTTACCGCGGCAATGCCCAGATCTCGTGAGAGTGAACTCTAGCCCCACAGGAGGCTAGAGTTCACTCTCCACTGGACCACCAGGGAAGGCAGGAGCACGGTCCCCCCTCCCTACATAAGGTAAGAAGGGAGGGAGGATATTAACTAAACGGCCCCCACACATTACACACAAACATACAGCACACACACACATACATCACCCTCACACACACAAAGCACACACTAACAGCACCCTCACACACAGCAGTGTGTATATATATATATATATATACACACACACACACACACACACATATACATACATACACGCGGCGTGTGTGTTTCTGCTTTTGGGTGCACACCCTTATACAATAGGCTGCGGACGCCTATGATCCACCTATTCCAACTCACTTGGAGCTTTTCATGATTTGTTAATCCGTGAGGATAGGATTTCACTTTATTCAAGCAAAAGGTTTCCCTGTTTTGAGACACAACCAGAAAATGAATGGTTATTGCTTTCCTTTTTTCTGAATAACAGAATCTTTCTGGACACAAAAAGATCCTTTATCTTAAGTAATAGCTTGTATATCCGCTACCTATTGTAAGAAGCCAATGGAAAACAGTGAAATTAGAGAGTGAATATGTGAGTCATGCGTGTAGTTTGATCATAGTATCTCAAGGTGATTCAGGAGTTTTACATGAACAGAGGAACCCGGCCGGGCGCACACCCATTTTCTAAAACCAGATCAGGAACAAGGCTAGATTAACAAACAGCTGGTTACAGTAACTTCTGCACAGTAGATCTATATATAGTGTGAATATATTTTTGTCATCACATGCCAGTTGAACGTGTAGGGTCCTCTCTCTGGCCCCGGTCAATATCTACCAAACTACGCCTGTTCTCAGCACAATATGTTCCTTAAACCAAATACATGTCAATCTGAAGCACAGGGTTCTAAAGCCAAATACTGTAAACCATAACATTCTTTAAAATATACCTAAATAAAGTTTAGAATTAAATGTCACGATGTAACCATGCTTGTTGTATAGGTTTATACTTTAATTACAGTGTTAATATCTTGAAGAAATCGACCGATCAGCATTCTATTTGTGAAGTATAGAAAATAAAGGGATTTGGTACATAATCACCCCAGCTGTATGAGAACTTCAACTCTCCATAGGCTTTTCAATGTGAGGTTACATTTTAGCCACCACGGCTGTTAAGCAACAAATTAGGACCCACGAGCCGTAATGATCTCACATATCTTTTATCCTGTATCTTTTAAATGGAGAAAATCTGAAACCTCGGGCTGGAGCATTGCATTGCAACCTTCTACCAGTAGCTTTTACTAGTCCGATGTCAGACTGTCCTGGCAGACAACCAAAGTCATCACGCGTGGCCAAATGGAAAGGTTTCTCAAGGCAACCTCAAGCAGTTGACAGATGCATAGAAGAATTCTAGAAATAACCTAGAAATGAAACCCTGAAAAAGCCTTGTTAACAATTTTATACCACTAGTCCCCTAGCTAACAGAGCTATGATGAATTCCGTGCAGATGGAGGCCGTAACTGGACAAATTACATTTCTTACCCAATCCTCTAGAGTTAATTGTACAACTTGTTGTATTGATTATGGTGTTCAGAGGCCATGGGTGCAGTCAGTCCACTTCGATATAAAAGTAGGATTTTCTGGAATTCAATGTCCGTTCAAACTGGGATGCGATAATTAGAAGGTTTCACTAGGAAGCCTTTGTCATCTCACTGCTAACCTATACAAATATGATATCATTGTATTATCTCATCCCAAACGGAGGAGCCAGGCTTTGGGTGTGGGGAATCCTCTGGTTTCTATTAAACTGCTGTAATATAGATTCAAGGAAGGAAAAAAAAAAAAAAAATGGATTGAGAATGAAATGTCATTTTCCGTTTTCTCCTTTACAAGTCTGTGAAACAGATGGATCTCAAGGATTTATTTAGCCTACTGTATGTATCAAATAATGATTAGTGGCCACTTAGTTCTAAGAGTATTTGGAAAGAGAGACACAGACGATTCAGTAGGTTTTGTCAAAGTATGACGAGAGGCTGAATAATGATATCATATTGGAAGCAAACAATCCCATAGGAGGAGATTGACCACTTCTGCAGTGATCTCTGTTGGTCCAGTTATAGAGGAAGAAAAATTATTTTACTGTCCCAAGGATGGGTTCACGGCTGGCTAAGTATCATGGATGTTGTGGTCCCACAAAAGCTAAGGATTTACTGCTAGGCTATCACTAGTCTTTTTATAAAGGAGGGCCAGTGATTAATATAATATTAATCTAATAATAAAATAAAAAAATAAAAAATATGTACGTTTTCTTTCAAACATTAAAAACCATTTAATATACCAGGTAGAGCTTTATGGAGCTTACTGGAATTCCTGTTATAGAGGCCAGAAATAATGGTTGCCTTCGAGGTGTCCAGGTACACTGCCGTAACATGAAAAGAAGGTTTAACACGCTCTGAAGGAATGCAGTGTACACTGGGCCACGTGTTCAACTTGGGAGACTGGATTAGGCTGAACGCAATAAAGTCCATATTTCAACTATCAAGCATGATGTCTACACCCAGGTAGGCAACCCCATGAATCAGCTGATGGAACCTGTTCTCCTAGCAGAATAGAGACGTTTATTCACTAAACTGGACATAGTGTGGAATTTGACAAATTTACAGAGTTGCAAATTTAAGGATAAACCTGAATTGAAAAAATGTGCAGTTCCATGGTCAATACTCTCAAATGCTCAATGTAGCAACAGCATAGGGCGTAATTCAAAGTTAAAGGGACACTATAGTCACCTGAACAACTACAGCTTAATGTATTTGTTCAGGTGAGATCTATAGCTCCCTGCAGGCAATCTAATGTAAACACTGTATTTTCAAAGAAAATACAGTGTTTACATTGATTGATAGGAATACCTCCAGTGGCCGTCACTCAGACGGTCCCCAGAGGGACTTCCTATCATGTAGGGCCCTAAAAAGGCCTTGTACACGTCAGACGTATTAAGATACGTCTGACGTGTGCAGGAGAGAGAAGGCACTGTGTGCGCGCCTTCTCTCTCCTGCCCTTCAGCAGAGGAGAGGGGGCGGGCAAAGACTTCGAGCTGAGCTGTCATCTCAGATCACGGCCGCGCACACCACGCGCTTGCGCGGTAGTGCGCTCAGGACTTCAGAAGCGTCTGATTGCTCCCTGCTCGCGCCCGCCTCTTTCGTCATTTTGACAAAATAAGGGGCGCGGCTTCACAAGGCTCCCGGCGCTGGAACCAGGTGAGTAAACTACTCTGCCTGGAGAATCCCTTTAATATGGAATTAAAGATCAAAATAGCAAACTGAAAATAAATTCGCCAAGCCAACTATGCTTTCAATTCAGGTTTGTCTTTAAATTTCAAAATCAGTTTAAATTATACCTTTCGTAACCAACGCCACATGTTTTTAACTGCCCGTGGAATAAAACCGTATATAGATAAATGTATATAATATGCTACAGTGTTATAAAGTAAACCTACAAACGCCCATTTAAAAATGTAAGCAGGCGACTCGGGAGTTAAGGGAATAATAGCATTTTCCAAAGGGAAAATTTCTTAACAGATTCTTGCTTGTGACATCCATCTGTCCTGCAGATACCAACCAAGCTCCGCAGTCTGCCCAGAATATATTTCAGGCCATAGCTGATATTTAGAGCACGCAGCAGCTGGCCGGCTGTCTGTCTTGAGGCTCATAGTTATGTAATCGGACAAATTCCTAAGAAACGCCTTGGGGCCAAAAAAATTATTTCAAAAAGAGGCTCAAGTTAGCTCTGAGATAGAGACAGTGTGGTCAGCCTGAAGCAGTCCATGGGGGTTGTTATGTGACAATTAATAGATTATACACAGACTAATCCTTTAACTCTGCCAGAATGAGATGTCCGGCCAGTCTCGGCTACATTACATTCCAATCCTGGGCAAGAAACCTTTGATTGGCTGGCCAACTGTTTAACGCCCATTACGTTGCACAGGATGAAAGTAGTTGTGGTCAAATACAATGACATGGGGATAGGCAGCCGGTAAATCAACTCTTCCCAAACTACAACTCTATGACAATCAGCCAGCTGCTTCAGCTAAATGTGCCAAGAGAGACTCATTTGCATGTATGGATATTAAAGGGCAATTAAAGGGCAAGATCCATCTCTGCTCCTTACATTATGTGGGAACCATTAAAGGGATCCTGTAAGCACCATAATCACTTCAGAAAGTTCTGTTAAGAGAAGCAGTACCGCAGGAGCCTGGGGGAGCAAAACGGTTTGAATACTTAGCATGGAATGGCACAAGGGGACTCCTGGGACCATAGTCCCTAAATGGGCTGAAGTGTAAAAAAAACAACAAAAAAAACAGTTATGGTGTAGTAGTTATAGGGGTTAGACTTGAACTTTAACCCCGTGGGCCACAGTAAATAATAAAAAAAAAAAAAAGGAATAACATTTACATTGTAATGTGAGTACCTAAAAAAAACCTCCATTAATGGGGGGGGGGGTTAAAAAAATAAATAAAAAAAAATAAAAAGGTAGCATCGATTTCTCCTCAATGGGACAAACCGGTTAAGCAGCAGGACGTGTTCAAGTTCCACACCCAATGAAAACCTGTTGTAATTATAAAGAGTTTTGTCTCATACCATGGTCATGAAGGGGTTAATGATTTACATACACACAAATAACACGCAATGGATGTAAACAAGAGAACACGCGGTGCCTTTCTAAGCTCCCATTGGTCGTCTTGCTGATTGACACAGTGTAACAGGATTTAAACTAGAAGGTAAAAGTAAACCTGTTTTCGTCGCATGCCACCAGATACCATGAATTCCAGATAAAAGCCTTTGTTTCGAGAGAAAGTGCAAAATACAAGCAGCAATTGGACTTTGTACCAGCGATAGTAGGAATTCTTCAGAAAGCAGCCACACCAACAAGGTCAAAGAGATCAGACGAAAAACTGTGTACACGCCGTTCACGTACGGCTAAAGACACAAGACGCGATGGTCGGGGTAATGATTAAGTAAGATGTCTTTGCGATTGGGACACACAAGTTCATTGCCAAAGTCTCCCAGCAGCAAAGACTCCACTGTCTAAAGAACGTCAAAAAAAGAACTTGAGGAGGCTCAAAACTGCCGCGACCAAAATGCAGAGAACCACAAGGGACGTGGAATGCCGAGGTGCACAAGAAATCAAAATTATTAAATGATAAGGGTCACGTCAAGAAATATTACATTAATTTCCATATGGCCTAAATCAGAACGACGTGCACAATTAAAAGTTAACAGATGGATAGAGACGGTTTAAAAAGGTCGTAAAGCCCATCCTCTGAAATAAATGATCGGACATAAAATCAAATGGCAGAAAGGTTTGGCCTGGACTTTTTCTTTACAGACATACAATACCTTAACAGGTTAACTGCAGCAATGTCTGGAAAGACTTAGTATTGAGTAAATCTGACCTTTTACCAAACCAAGGCTAATTTGTGGACTCCGATGCAATCGAGAACCTTACAGACAGGAGCTACTGACATTTACTCTTGAGAGGAGGACTTGCTATTTAACCCCATCAGAACAAGGACAGACTTTTTTTTTTTTTTTTTACTATTTTTCAGTGCCGACTGGTTCTGAAAGGGTTAACTAGCAATGTTAAAAGTAAACATTTACAAAACATAGAATTATAATAGCTAGCACTGTAAGTCTGTATTGATAGAGCATCTACAGAACAGAAAGCTTTTCACACTCCGGTGATAGCGCGCTATCGGAATAAAACGCCATACAAAAGCAGTTAATGAATAAACGATTCAGCCTTGAATTTCATCACCTGCTCTGATAAAAAGGAACAGATTAAATATTTCCAAAACCAAATACATAAAAAAAAAGTGTTTGTTAAATTGTAATCTGGTATATAGCTGAAAATCCCCAATACAGCTTGGGCTGTTTATTTCTTATAGGATCAATACCTAGACTGCAAGCTCTGCAGGCACAGAGTCATATCAGTGGTAGTGAGAACTGTGCAGAATGGAGCCTTACAGGGGCAGCAACATGAATCGGTTTATTATGATTAACTTTACTCAGAGTTTAAACACGATTTCACGCTAATTCAAACAAACAGGCATGGATGGATTAGAGAACATGTTCCTACAATAAAGGGATAACACCATTTAAAAGCACATTTCTATCAGGGTTCAGCATAAGATACTTAGAAAATTCTTCTAAAAAAAAATAAATGAATAATAAAAAAAAAAAACAATTATAAAAGAGAGAAAAATATGCGGATTCAGACTGCATCAGGACTCCACTTTCTTCATTATATTCAATAATCACTATAAAACAGGAATTAAAAATCCCTCTTTTACAGACTGTAAACATGTTTACTTTAGCGTGACGACAGCGTGGAGATTGTATAAGGAGTAAAAAGCCCCAAAGTATTATTCAGAGGAAGGACGAAGAGAAATGCTGTTGTCCAAGTCGATCTGCCTGCTCACTACGCCAGGCCAGCCTTATCTGCAGATGTTCCTTCACCACAAGCCAACAAACATATTTTATTGTCCCAGCATGTGATTCTTTGGCTAGGCTGCCATAGATCGGAAGACTATCTGAAGGCAGCAGGGCCTGTACGAATCTGCTTCTGTGCTAAGCGGAGAAACACTGCAACCACCATAACAACTACAGGCTGCTGTAGTAATTATGGTGCTGGAGTGCCCTGGTGCCACCCCAGACTTTGCTTTCTACCACAGGCGAATCTCTGAGCTAGGATATGCGGCGTGGGCACCCAGGCAAGTTGCCAAACAGTCCAAAAAAACGTTTGACAAATTACACTGGGAGGGAATCAGGCCACTCTTGGTGTCAGAATCACTAAAGTGAGCTTGCCAACCCTAAATCTGCCGGGAAATGAATAAAGCAGCACATTACGGGTCGTCCTCACTTAACGACCAGCTCTCTAGCATGGAGATTCCCCACATTACTGAGCTGGTCTATGTTCGGAGGAATTCCTCCGAATGTAGACCTGCTCTCTTGCACATGCTGGTGAGCGCATCTTCACTTACCGACCAATTCTTTTTACGACCAAATCGTAGGAACGGAACATGGTCCGTAAGGGAGAACAGCCTGTTCTAAACTTGTGAAATCGTTATAAAGAACTTTAATATCACGAAATTGTTACACACGCTGTATGCAGAGTATTTGCCTTTATTGTCAGTTTGAATTCTAACTACAGTTTCTGCATTGGTAGAGATTACATACAAACAATGGGGCATATTGACAAACACGGATAGAGAAGTGTCGTCACTTCATGTTCAGATCTGAATAGTAACCATAGGCTGTGGAGTCTCCTTGCACCATAACCACAACATTTGACTGTACAATCAGCCTTTGCAGTAACGGTGCTTACAGAATCCACTTACAAGGTTCGCAATTAAAGAACCACAATAGCCACTCCGACCACTTTCTCACATGAAGGTGCTGTGTTCCAGGTGTTCTAAAAACAGTGTAAAACATTGCAATTCTGTTTCTCAATGAGAAGCTATGGAGGAAAGGTATTGGGTGGCTGCAAAGAGTGAGTCTCAACACTGCAAATAAAGCAAGTGAATTTAATTTATTTTTCAAAATTAAATTTAGGGGGAACAATAATTTAAATAATACACATAGCAGGGGTGCCCAATAAGTAAATCCCCAGATCTTGTAGAACTACAACTCCCACGAGGCTTTGCATGTCTTCAGGAAGCTGTAGTTAAAACCTCTGCATTAGGCACACAAAAGGAGAAAGTATTTATTTTTTATTTGTATTGTATCATACAGAGAAAATAATGTTATAATTGTAACCAAACCATAACTACCCCCCTGCAATAACTTCCCGGCTTCCCAGCAAACAGAAAACACTAATTAAATTACACCAATTCACACACTGCGCAGGTAAACAAGCTAATTAATGTTTTTGTGTTTCGTTTTGGCGAGTGAGGCAGATTTTCTCCGCCCGGTTACATATGCAACCATGTGTGATTTAGGGATAAAACCTGGCAGGGTGTGGGGGATGGGGTCATTATCCACCTGCACTTACATAAACTAATTCTCGTGACGTTTGGAAGGAGACGTCTGTGGGATCAACAGAGAGCATTGTTTAATATGTACAGCTGTTAACGTTTCAGTCGTTCCCATAATCTGCCCCCGTAAGGTGATAATAAAGTTATAGAAGTGTCTGTTTGCCAGCAAGTTACAGAAATCTCTGAAGAAAATACAGGCAAAGATTGGATCTCAAACTGCTAAACAACTGCAATTCCCACAATGCGGCCGGTCAGCTTTACGGATTGTAGTGCAAAAACAGCTGGGGAGCTACCGATTGGCTACGTCTGCTTCAAGGATAACTGGAAAGATGGCAGCTGAATAACAAATCAGTAAAGTTGGCAACGATTAAAAAAAAAAAAAAAAAAATGGATGCTGAATGTTTTGAGTTACTTTGGTCAGTTTTCTGTACCTGCATTCGTTATACGTGTTGGGCAAGCGTAGAATTGTAACCGTAACAAGCTTAGCTATTCTATTTTTGCTACAAGGAAATACCAGCTGTCAGATGGACTCTTCAATTAATAAGGGTTATCAAAAGAGCCGAGTCACAAAAGCAAACACTTTAGGGTTGGTTGTCAAGGCAGCAAGAATAAACATCAATACAGACGTTCGGTATCATTGATTTCTTGGAGTGAATTCCTTTAACATAAACGGATCCTCCAGTATCCCAGCATCACACCTTTAATTGAACATGAAGAGGTAATCTCTTTGCTGGGGTGGGGAGGTGTTGGTTTGGTTTAATAAAAGGTTTGATTTAAAGCCCATGAGGGAAACCGAATGTCCCCTTTTATGAAAGTTTAACGAAGCAGGTAATCTGGCACAGATACAAGGAGCTGAGAACATGATATAACATGTCAAAGAATCACAACCTAGGCTTGGGTTTATTGGTGACGTGTAAAGGAGAGTCCATCAGTCTAATAAGATTAGATCTACTGCAAAACAGATCAATAAGAATGTCTGGGATAAGATATTTAGGAAGAACTCAGAGCTCTGTGCTAAGAACACGTAAACAGTTTTATATCAGTTAGGTGGGAAATTCCAGAGAAGGTCTTTAAATCACTTCGCTTCCACTCAAAAAATGAAGCAGAACAGAATGGACTTGGCACGCGACTGGGAGCAGATTAAGTGGTGATAATATATTACATTGATTAAACCTGATGACAAGGCTTTTACTGATAAAAAAAAAAAAAAAAAAGGTGAATCTATGTAATGTATCAAAGAGAGGATATCAAGTTTAGGTGACCGCCCAAGTATCACGACTTGGCAAAGACCAGAGTTGAAACATTGACACCCATTCAACGGACACAAAAAGTGACCAACTCTACGCGCACAGGCTGAACGTCACCTTCACTGTGCTCCTTCCTGACCACACAACACCTGCTTCCACATCTCAATGCTTTACATGCTCTCTCTTCTACGAGGCAGAGTCCAAAAAGCAAAAGTAAAACAACATGAAGTTATTGCTACTGGCCGAAGTTAATTCGCGAGGCCGTTCGCAGCAAAACTCGAACAATATTACAATTATACTCTTATAATTTTCATTTACAAACAGTTCAGTCATTGAGGCAGCTCTTTCATGCCCATTACCGCCTACTTTACCTCAGCAGATTCCTTCAGCTGACATTGTTTCTTCTCTGAGAAAGATTACTTTGACACAATTTGTATCCAGTTCAGGTTATTTTACCAAATAATACTTTTGTAATTATATTGCAATATATCAAGTTATAACTTCCTTTACTGCAGACTACTAGAATTTGATTATTATGAATTCTAAAGAGTCTAAGAAAACTCTTCCGCAGTCACCAATTACTGGTGCTAATGCTGAATGTGAAATCCTCACTGAGGACTCGTTACAGAGTATTGTTAATTTATCTGACAACAAATCAGTATCATCTGCAATATTTTCTGTTATGTCCTCTATGCAAGAGGCAATTGCAAAACCTGTGGCTCATGCTATCAGCCAATCTACCAAACCTGCGCAACAGACGGAGGTAATTAATACTCCCTCTGACCAATTTTGGTCATCTGTGGAGTCTGAAAGGAATTTGACGCAAGGTTTCAGGAGATCTGGGAAGGCCACTCAGAAGTGTAAACATTGTTTTGAAGGTCCTTATGATTCCCCTTCTTGCTTTAAAGCATCTAAAAAAAAAAAAAAAAGGGAATGGCCAATAATGAAAACGCAAATTTGAGGAGAGGAACTTACTTAAAAGACCCTCTGCTCGTGAGGAATACAAACGAACTCGGATGGCCATTCACAGGAGCAAATCTGACTCTTCTAAAAACTCCTCTGACAATTCATCCTCATCTTCTGAAGATGAATAATCTGATGTGGATTCTGATTATTCTGCATACTCCGAGGTACCTGATGGTGAAAACGTTATCACGGATACTGCAGGAAAACCTTTACTTAATCCAGATAATATAAAAACATCCCCGTCCAGCTGAATGGGTTCCGATGGCTCATGTTGCCAAATACCTTCAATATTGGCTAAGGAAACCCCTTGACCAGGCAGCTAGGAATAAGCTGAGGGCTGAATGCCCTAGACCACCTTTAGCTCAAAAAGGTCACACAGACCCCTGACTTAGAGCCTACTTTAATACAATTTCTAACAACATCAGGGAAGAATCCCAACAAAGGACCTGACAGGTCACTAAAATCTTGTCAAGACAAGCTAATGGATATTTTTGGTCCTGTGGCAAAAATATTTGAATTCCTAGAACAAGCTGCTTCAGGGAGTTCGCCCAGTATTGACATCCTTAGAGGATGGACACAACAAATTGTATGTTTTCTAGGAAACGCTAATACAGCTCTAACCACAGAAGACGAAGGTCAATACTCAAAGACTGACCCACAATTAGCTAACTTAGCCACTACAGAACCAGGACTAGCAGCAGAAGGACTCCTATTTGGAGACTCATTTATTAATAAATATGTAAAGCGATTTAGTTCCTTAGACAAAGCTTAAGCTTCACTGAAAAGAATTTTCAGCCCTAAGGTTTTTGGAAGGGCTGGAAGAGGACGGAACCGCTCTTCCAGCCGCTTCTCTCAAACCAGACAAGAAGCTCATTCCAAGCAAACAGATCCTCATTTAACACACAGCAGACATCTCCATCTTTCCCACTTTGTGGCAGACCATGGAGATCCAGAGGTCATTGAGGAATGTCTCGCTTCTGATCATCGTCTGGTGATTACGACAATTCCCCTTTCTTGTCCAGAAAAATTGGGAGGCAGACTTTCTCACTATTTCCATGTCTGAAGTCAGATTACAAACGATGCCTGGATCTTAAATACAGTTCTGGGATACAAAATAGATTTCCTATCAAATCCCAAAGACAGGTACCTTTCCCAATTAAAAGGCAAAAATGGTCTCTGACAGAGACACACTTGCATATAAATTGCCTGGAGCTCATGGCAGGATACTTCACCTTACCCAGTTCTGCGAAAATCCAATTGTTGCTTCCTTCTCAAGATGGACAATATTTCAGCGGTTCAATACGTGAATCTAAAAACTAGGAGGCACAAAATCCAAACAACTAGCAGACATTGCCAAAGACTTATGGCATTTTTGCCTCGATCGCAACATAGTTTTGAGAACATCTTCCTGGCCTGTCCAATACGATAGCAGATTGCAATTCCCATTTCCTAGTAGATTATAGCAACTGGATGCTGGATCCCAGCATTTTTCAGCGCCTTTGTTCCCTATGGGGCCCATTGCAATACGACCTTTTTGCATCACGTCTCAATTGTCAGTTAGAAAAAAATTTCAGCTGGCGTCCAGACCCAGAAGCATTAGATCATGCATTTCTTCAATGCTGGAACAACTGAGTCAATTATGCATTCCCACCGTTTGCGATGATATATCGGATTCTGTTAAAAGCATTGTCTCAGAGATCAACCCTAGTGTTAGTGACTCCTCATTGGCCATCACAGCTGTGGTTCCCTCAACTTCTCAGCATGCTGATAGATTATCCGAGACTCATACAAATGCGTCGAGATTCTCTTAGCGATCCAGACGCGAACCTCCATCCACTTGTGGTGTCAGACCAATTACCACTAATAGCATCACTTATATCAGTTCACATGACTCAAATAGTTTTTAGATTAAACTAGAAAACATTTTCTCAGAAGCATGGGCACCAGGTACCCGTGCAAGTTAAAGGGCCACTATAGTGCCAGGAAAACATACTCGTTTTCCTGGCACTATAGTGCCCTGAGGGTGCCCACACCCTTAGGGTCCCACTCCCGCCCGGCTCTGGGGAGAGGAAGGGGTTAAACACTCACCTTTCTCCAGCGCCGGGCGGGGAGCTCTCCGCCTCCTCTCCGCCTCTTCTACTACTCTTCGGCTGAATGCGCATGCGTGGCAGGAGCTGCGTGCGCATTCAGCCAGTCTCATAGGAAAGCATTCATAATGCTTTCCTATGGACGCTGGCATCTTCTCACTGTGATTTTCAGTGAGAAGCACGCAAACGCCTCTAGCGGCTGTCAATGAGACAGCCACTAGAGGATTTGGAGGCTGGATCAACCTATTTATAAACATAGCAGTTTCTTTGAAACTGCTATGTTTATAAAAAATGGGTTTACCCTAGCTGGACCAGGCACCCAGACCACTTCATTAAGCTGAAGTGGTCTGGGTGCCTAGAGTGGATCAGCCTGGAAAATGTAGCTTAATTGGTGCATGGAACGGGCTGTGGATCTCACACATTCCGATTTGGCACATGTACTTAATTTTTTTGTCTTCCGCTTTTGACTCAGAGAAAGCATACCGAACCATAATCCGACTGAATCCTTTCCAGTGGGCAGACACCCCTAGGTCTGAAGACTTATGAAGGGCATTAGATTAAAACGCCCTCTTAGCTCTAGATATAATTCTACATTGGATGTTAACCTGCTTCTCCAGTTATTAGAATCTTGGAGTGATGACTCATTAGCTTTAAAATTCCTATAATTTAAACTTTCCGTTTTACTTTGTCTCATTTCTTTAAAAAAAAAAAAAAGAGTTTCTGATGTTAAGGCTTTGGACCTCAATAATAGACAATACACCCCAGATGGGGTTCAATTTTTTTTTATAGTTAGACGTACTAAAACTAACCTACATTTAGTTTAGTTTTCTATCCTTTTTTTTCAGATCACCCTCTTTTATTTGTGTTTAACGGTCTTCAGACGTACGAGCTTTAAATCTCTTCCTTAAGACACTAACTTTTCTCAATTGCTAATCTCCTTTCGAAAACCTTTTCTCCCTGTCACCTCTACATCTTTAGCCAGATGGGTAAGACAAACTATGTCTATGGCAGGTATTGATATTTCTATATTTGGAGCTCACTCCTCCAGAGGAGCTATGTCTACTAACGTTTTCCAGGCAGGAGGCACGTTATCAGATTTATTTAAAGCTGCAGATTGGTCTTCAGAATCTACTTTTAAAAAGCTATTGGATATCCCATTGCAGTTACGTGACTGTTTTTTCTTATATTGTTTCACTAAACTTTATTGAAATATTCTTTCTTGCTGGAGTTTAGTAAAGAAGGTTAATGCATAATATGAGCCTCCTTTCATTAATAAAATCTATATTTTCTGATGTCAAGACTAGGAAAATCTTGAATTGTATAACATTTCGATCCGATATTCTCTTTAACATGCTCGAAGAAAGTCACCAGAATAATGGATCTTACAGATTAATCTATAGTAAGAACTAGCTGTCAGTTTGCAGGAACTCTTATCAGCATCACAGGGTTCCTCCAAAGATGATCTAATTTCCCTTACTTATTTGGCGCTTGTTACTGGTTTCCCCTTCTGTAAAATAAACTTTAAACGAGTCAGGAATTCTGTGCAGGGCGAGGGGTCACTCCATCTTTACCATGCACCATGGAGATAATTAATAAATAAATGGGGGAATTGATAAAGACTGTGCAGGCAGGTGGGAGGGCTATGAGTGATGGAGGGCAGACGAAGGCGAATATTCATGGACAAGAGACCAGACACACACAAAAAAATAAGGACAACTGAAAGAGCATGTAGGGAGGCTGGGAGGACAATACTGTAGATACAAGGCTTTTACACGCAGGCGCAATCTAGTAGGGAAGAAGTGGATGACACGTTTTTGAACAGAATTCACATTAGGCAGTCCACAACAGAGCCAGGTTACAATTCAATGCAAAGCAATCTATGGATGGAGAGATATGGAAATATTAAAGCCATAGAGGAGAGCATTCAAGGCTGACACTTGAGAGAAGTAATAAAATCAGATTTGGGACAACCTTTGTTCCAATTCGTTCTTCTTGTCCATTGAACTCGCAGCCCTCAGCATGCCAGCTGGTTTGGAAACAAGAAAATAAATAATCCTGGGAAATGGCTGCGAACACAGAGGGAGCCTTTTCTCTTGTGTAACATTAAAACGTTATGATTAAGGGAACAGAGCTCAATGAAGTGATCTGGGTGCCAGGTCCCCCTAGTTTTAACCCTGCAGTGTAAACATAGAAATTTTAGAGAATCTGCTATGTTTTCACTGCAGGATTAATCCAGCCTCTAGTGTGTCTCCCTGACAGCCACGAGAGGCCGCTTCCGCGATTAACACTGAGTAAATCGCACTTATTTGACGCTGGACGTCCTCACGGACCTCCAGCATAAAAAAAGATCCCCACTCGGGAACAGACGTCACCAGGGGAGGAGAGGTCACCAGCACTGGATTAAGGTAAGTGGCTGAAGGGCGCCGATGGAGGCTGGCACTCCAAGAGCCTATAATGCCAGGTAAACGGGATCCCTTTAATGCCCAGTGGATTGGAATTCCACCCACTCTAATAAGCTCGCAGTACGAAAAAAATACAATCACAGGCTCTGAAAGCAATGATTTTAACACAGGAACGCTCCAAAGTCATGTGGATTGTACTTTAAATACACATTTTATCTGACAAAAACAGCCTGCACGTGGTTTTTAAAACCGGTTACGATTGTCACAAATGGCAACATAATCTACAGAGATGTAGGTATTGTGAGCAATAAATTCTAAAAGTTTTGTTGTAGATCAAATCATCACATTTGTAGAACAATATAGGAGACTAATTGTATAGACCAATCTTATTACATGGAATATACCGGGTACAGTACCAGGCAGCTTCTCCAATACCAGTTATATCCAAAGCAAATGATCAGTTCTAAGGCCGACCGAAGTGCACCAGATGCAAAGTTAATCGCCCAGTTACGAAGATCTTAAAACTTCTTACCTGATATGTTAAACAGAAAAGAAAGCCCAGATGAAGCCAAGAACAACTAAGCTGTCCATACCTCCCAAGTGTCCTTGTGTAGGAGGGATAATTCCTGTTTTCTCTCCTAATTTCTCTCTTTTCTAGGAGCTCCATAATGTTGGTGTGTCTGAGTGTATAACAGAGCTCCACTGCAATAATACTCCCAGAGCTCCCCAGCAATAATACTCCCAGTAATGTGTCTGAGTGTATAACAGAGCTCCACAGCAATTTGGCTGAGTGACAACAGAGCTACACGGCAATAATACTCCCAGTAATGTGTCTGAGTGTATAACAGAGATCCACAGTAATAATACTCCCAGTAATGTGTCTGAGTGTATAACAGAGCTCCACAGCAATAATACTCCCAGTAATGTGTCTGAGTGTATAACAGAGCTCCACAGTAATAATACTCCCAGTAATGTGTCTGAGTGTATAACAGAGCTCCACAGCAATAATACTCCCAGTAATGTGTCTGAGTGTATAACAGAGCTCCACAGCAATAATACTCCCAGTAATGTGTCTGAGTGTATAACAGAGCTCCACAGCAATAATACTCCCAGTAATGTGTCTGAGTGTATAACAGAGCTCCACAGCAATAATACTCCCAGTAATGTGTCTGAGTGTATAACAGAGCTCCACAGCAATAATACTCCCAGTAATGTGTCTGAGTGTATAACAGAGCTCCACAGCAATAATACTCCCAGTAATGTGTCTGAGTGTATAACAGAGCTCCACAGCAATAATACTCCCAGTAATGTGTCTGAGTGTATAACAGAGCTCCACAGCAATAATACTCCCAGTAATGTGTCTGAGTGTATAACAGAGCTCCACAGCAATAATACTCCCAGTAATGTGTCTGAGTGTATAACAGAGCTCCACAGCAATAATACTCCCAGTAATGTGTCTGAGTGTATAACGAGCTCCACAGCAATAATACTCCCAGTAATGTGTCTGTGTGTGTAATAATACAGAGCTCAGAGCACAGCAATAATACTCCCAGTAATGTGTCTGAGTGTATAACAGAGCTCCACAGCAATAATACTCCCAGTAATGTGTCTGAGTGTATAACAGAGCTCCACAGCAATAATACTCCCAGTAATGTGTCTGAGTGTATAACAGAGCTCCACAGTAATAATACTCCCAGTAATGTGTCTGAGTGAATAACAGAACTCCACAGCAATAATACTCCCAGTAATGTGTCTGAATGTATAACAGAGCTCCACAGCAATAATACTCCAAGTAATGTGTCTTTAATCTACAATAAATGTGTTTAGAAATAAGTCTGAGTAAAATAGATTGTTCTCGATATAAATTACATTTTATTTGTACTAATTGTTATTAGTAAGTCACCTAAAATTTCTCAGAACGGCCCTGCGCACGGCCACACCCCTACTTTATTTGGGCTTATTTGCTAAATATTCAGGATTCTAACACAATCTATATGTGGACATCATCTCAGTTTTTAATAATTAAATACGTAGTACAAATGTTTCCCATAAATGTCTAATACACAGCCACTAGAAAACTTCCTCCCGTCACTGTTTAGAGGGGTATCACTGTACACTGGGGGGTGGGTGGGGTGAGACAATGGCCTAGGACTGCAGTATGTCTTGTTCAGAGGGGGTCTAGGTGGCATTTAGGTCCAATATTGACCCTTTGGGTAGATATAACCTATGGGGTTCCTTGTAACAGCTGTGATCTATGATAGGTTTTTAGATGAGTAGGAACGGGCAATACGGCCAACTACGGCAAACAGAAAGGTCTCTTGCGTCATTTTTGGCTTAGTCACAGACTCCGTATGTCTGTACACCTTTAAACATGAAGACAGTATGTGTCATCATACGGGAATCTGGTTCAACAACATCACCTAGGATGGGTGGGTAAATGTTAAAAAACGTGATGTAATTAGCATCCTGGCACAGAGCAAGGTCTCACGGTGAATGCACAGTAGTTGATCAGAGTTGGGAGAGATCTATCCCCAGGTAATAAGGTGTATGGCCCATCCCTGTTACCAAATATCACTCACCTACAACAATTCCCACAATCCTTTTCTGCACACCATAAAAAGAGTACGTCCTAGTGTTAATTTTTACACCTATGGCCAGCTGCTCCCCTTGTATATTTGTATAATGTGCTTTATACCATACTAGCAAGACGTTAATTATATACACAATGGAACTAAACGACGGATAAAATGAGATACACACTTAGTCATGTAGTTCTGTCCCCTTTAAGAAGGCATATTCCTTAATGTGGTTTTCTGATTTTCATACAGCAGTGATATCTTACCCAGACACTGCAGATGTTTCTGAATGACATTTATTACTTAGACAAGTAGCTTCATTCATTAATTTCATGAATGAACATACTCACAGTCTGATGTATGGCTTATGGCTGCTGCATGGTCTTGGCAAGCTAGAGAGAGAGACTTAGGAGAGAGTTGATTTAAGGTGCATATTATTTCTTCAAAATGGCAAACAAATAGCAGGATGATGATCTTCCAATGCTAGCCAGCTGTTTAGTGATGAGTCACTAGCACAATTCAGCAATACCTCCGACCTAGATTATCCCTGTTAGCAGTTTCTGGATAGCTCCAGAACAGAGAGGCTTTATTTAGCCCTCAAAGGTTCCAATTAATGAACAAAGAAATGTAATGTGTCGGTGTTCAGGTAAGAGGTGAGATCCAGCGCAGACTCTGCAAAGAGTGTTCACTGAACCGGTCTCTGGGGAGTCACGTCCCAGCCTTGCCAGGTGCTGATTCATGGCCTGCCTCTGATCCAACACAAATTAAAGGCTTCCTCTTCCCAGTGGCCGAGCCAGCTGATGACAGAGGGGCTCTGAAAAATGTGTTTGGATTTCCATAGAACTCTCACTATAAATCCACACGGGCTTTAGCCAAACACCTAGTGTTGACTTTAGCCTAAACTGTAAAAACAGATCAAAACTGCAGGCGATGCACATGTGAAGCTGGGAACCTGTATGCAAAGCGCAAACACAAAAATAAATTTTAAAAAAAAAGGTATGTCATTCTGGTGACATGTTATCGATCACATCGCGTGAAGAAAGAACGGGTTTTAAAAATACAGAACTGCAAAAAGTGTGAAATGTCAGGAATTGAAAGTAAATCAAAATAAAACTCGGGGCTAATATAATCAAATTGTAAACAAAACCGCCTGCAAATTAGATAGAATGTGGCCGTCTTGGCCTGACGTTTGAAATTCACTCTTTACCGAACGCTTAATGAACGTTCCGCATAAACCACATGAAATGCGCAGGGCTATGAGACCCGCCATTATGAAACCGTTATAGAGGAGAAGAGCCACGCTATAAAACACTACAGACCAGAATTTATAGAACAAGGATCAAAAACTTAAAAAGAAGAAAAAAAAAAAAGAAAAAGAAAATAAAGAAAGCAGACTTCTGCATCTGATGTAGTGAGATCTTCCCAGACCGCTTAGTTGGTGAAAGTTGACATACAGAACAGATAAAATCAGCAAATGTACATAATAAACGGGGTCTGCGTGAATCTGAGCAAGGTGGATAAAATCCCAGCTAATAGAGGGATCAGACCACCCCCTTCTCCCCATGGTAAATTCCCACTGCCAACCCCCTGATGGAGACCATTGGTTGTGTCAGCCCGTATAACAAAGGGTCCTTTTTAGCTGTGCTGCCCTCTCGTCCCACCAAGACGTCACCATGAAAGACATGACGAGGCTGGGGCCAAGCGCTGTTCACTAAATCCATTAATGACATATATTAGGTGAATATTCCTTTGTATTAATACAGATCTGGCCGCTCGGCGTTTACAGGAAAGCATCAAACATTTAACTAAGATCACAAATATTTTCACAGATTGACAAAGACCACTATTGTCTTACAATGGATCTGAAATTACAGAAGTGAGGATTGTCTGCCTGATAGCGAAGTCAATGAACCAGCAACTCACAAGGAAATCACTGGTTTTATTCTGAAATAGCCAGCCGAACTAGGGAATTGATTCCAATTCAGCGATTTTAAATCCAAATTTGTGATTTCCTGGTCATTTTAGGACAATTACCATTGATTTCTTTATTTTATTTTTTTTAATGCATATGAAATATTTTGTATATATTATTGTGTATTAATATTGTTTTTGTATTTTATTGTATCCTATTGTATCAATGCAATGTTTTGTGAACCCAGGACATACATGAAAACGAGGGAAATCGCAATGTATCCTTCCTGGTAAAATATTTTATAAATAAATAAATATTGGTCCTCTAAGTTGAGATGGATTGACTGCAGACGTCTTCCTGGTTTCTCAAAGCAGTGTCACCGAAACCTTTCCTAGACAGGTTGTAACGGGCAGATCTTCTATCTAATCCCTGCGTACCATTCAGAGGAGTGTCGATACACAGTATATGTTTATATGCATCTGATAGCTTAACATGTTCCCTATAACCAACCTGCAGGAGCAGGGGGAAATCGGTTTATTGATCAGATAGACATCGCACTATCCTGTGGACAATGGCAAGGGCTCTCCATCTAAAATAATGATAAATAAGATCTGATGTCAGGACTGTTCTTTTCATCAAGTTGTAAAGAAAACGACTGCAGTCTGTTCTTATTTGCATTATTATTATTCTGGTCATTTAAATAGCGCAAAATTATTCTGCAGCGCTTCAAACACACGAGAGAGAAATGCTTACTATACGCCATTTACAGCTTCTCATTCACTAAAGGGAAATAAAATAGTCACACTACGCAAGTGAACTGCATCCGTGGCAGCTCTGATGCATAATTGTTCGAGTGACCTTCAGAGACTGAAGTTGTTATGGTGCCGTAAGTTCTCTGTTGCCAGCTTACTTTTAGGGTTGGTTTGTTTTTGTAATAAAAATAAATGATTACAAAGTGCAGAAATTCCTACTAGATTTTATGAATGATATGCTATTTATCTCTGTACATTCTCGTAGTTTGATTCCTGGAAAGTTCTTATAAACAAATATTAAAATATCCCGTCAACTTCATTAATGTGGAATAAAAACGTAGCTGGGAAGGTAAATTCTAAGAATGAGACGTTAGCAGTTTGTAGTGTTCTTTATTTAAAAAAAAAAAAAAAAAAAACAGAGCTGTTTATATTATTAGCATTGGGCTTCACCCAGAAAACACACGGCATCACCAGATGGGGCCCAAGATGGCGGCTCCTAATACCCGCTTCATGTGGCGTAGCTCTCTTCCCTTCACTGAACTATGTGCCCCTGATAAACTCCCAAATAAAACCCAGTATTATTCGCCACATGTCTTACGCAGAAAGATTAGCAAACAAGAAAATTTACCAAGAATAGAGAATGCTGCTCTGCACATGTGGATGGTACATTTTGATGCGGATTTTAGGACACCAAATACCGGAATATTAGGTCACATTTTCCATTTCCATCTGAGGCGACTTGCAGAGCGCAGCCACTATGCACCACCATGTGTATTAAAGATACATTTTGTTATGGCGACAGCATTCAAACAGATTCAACCACTTGGAAATACGGTCATCCTCAGGCGCAATTCACGCCAATGGCAAAGAGATGACCATACACGAACTACAGCACGCAAGTCTCAAGTGGCTATAGCTACGAACCTACAAACACACAGATTCTTGGCTTCTTAAAACAACCACAAATCACTTATTATAAACTGTGAACAGTTAGAGAATCAGAGGTGCAAAGGCCCAGTGGCAGGAGATTCTGGAAATAAAATATAGGGTAACTAACTCCACCTATCGGCGGAGACCCAGAGATTTGAGCAACCATGATGAATGAAAAGTCGCCATGCAATATACTATGGCAAACAACCACAGGACAAAATAACAGACTAGCAACATAGTAACGGTATATTGCCCAAACGTCACCAGAGAAGAGAGGCTCGTATACAGATAGCGGTAGCCAAAAGCCAAATCAAGATGAAATTCACCCTGCCTGTAACAACGTTGGGACGCGTTACACAGCTTCTGTCAAAGATTTGTACGTATCTCCACAAGCAAACAGAGCAATGAACTGAGAAAGTAACGGTGCCTATTAGACTATAGAGTTTGTTTGAGCCACCCATCCCATAAAACTCCACAATAAAGGTATCACATAGACGGAAGATTAGCCAGTACAGCACCAAAAACACCGACCATCCCCCAATATATTTTTCTTCTTTGAGACATGTTTCATTTCCCAAACTCTATCACATCTTCAGTTTGTTATTACTTAGGAAGTACGGGAAAAACTCACAATAACTTTTCCCTCACCAAAGACACACAGGATTATTAACTAAAGTGAACAAATTTAAAGGGACACTCTAGTCACCCAGACACTTAATCTCAATGAAGTGGTCCGGGTGCAGTGAGTTTAGCCCTTTAAGGTAAAAAAAAAAAATCATTGCCATTCTCTAGATCTTGTCACTTAGTGAATAGCCTTGGATTAGACCATTGCCGGAGGAGGTCAGACCTCCTTGATGACATCACAGAAGGCGGAGATGTGAGCATCACAGAGAAGTCTTGACACTGAAAAAAAGGGGAGTAAAACCTAGATTTTCTTAAATTTTATTTGAAAAAGGTCGTCGGTCTGTATACAGCAGGGACAAGAGCACTGTAACGCTCTTAGGTTTGTAACGCTGTTAGGTTTGTATTCCTAACACTGCCGTGTTCCTTTAAGACCAGGGCAGCCACACTGAAAGCATTGCTGAATTTTTTAAGTTTGGCTGATTTTTATTCTTGCCTTAAACGGAACACTAAGTGTTTGTAATACAATAGTGTATTCGTAACGCTATAGTTCCCTGGTGGCCTTTCATTTTATTTACCTTTCTCGCAGCCTTGTCCATTGCCGTTTCGTAAAACAGCAATGTTTTCACTTGCGGGGTTAAAACAGAGGAGACATTGCATCCGGACCATTTTATTTTGCTGAAGGGGCCTGGTGATGAATAGTGTCCCTTTAAATTCTCACTTTGGTAATAACCCTGGCATTTATATGCAGACTATGGACCAGAGACAGAAATGTGAAGTCGCTGGCACCTCTACGAACACTGAAGCGGTTGAAATTGAGGGACACACCTACTACTTGCTCAGGCTGATAGTGGTCAGGGGTGGGTGCACATATCGCGTGATAATGGCGCACTTGTGCAGAGCTTGACCTTTGCCAGCCACAAACTCTAATCTGCTGCGTTCATCAGAATTTTAACACAGGAAACATCAATTTACTCTCACTTCCTTTTTACTCAACAGGTGCAATCTCATTTAAAGAAGGGAAACAGAAAAAAAAAGAAAATATAGTGATTAGGTACTCAGCAATTTAGCCGGGATAGCGTTTTATCAAGGCTGATTTCATACTGGTTGTTCTGTCAGCTGTTTCACTACAAATCCCATCACTGGCAGCCATCCAATTAGATGTAGAAGATTAGATCGAGTGCCAACATCCTCCTGAAGTCATTAGAAGCATACTTTAAACAGCCAGGACAATAGTGATTATTGCAATGCTATATGTGTCTACAGAACATGCTCACTGAGTGCAGGGAATGGTGTGATCGTCTTGCAGTCACTAATTCACCAAAACAGCTAAAGATCACACACTTCTTATAGTGGAGAAAAGAACCGTGTAAGGTAGAGATCTGCTTATATTTTAACCCAAGTGCCTTCTTTGCAAACCAATCAAATCATTGTTTGACCCCAAATTGTTCCTTAGCTGAGCATCTGCCCACGTGTGTTCTGCCACCTCATGCGTTCTTGTAGGACAGGAGAAGTCAATTTTCAGCACTACAGCCATCATGCAGGCAATGCATCATGGGAGATGCAGTCCACAACATCTGGAGTTGCCTACCCCTGCTCTAGGAGAGCACAAACTCATAACCACGTGTGGTTGGAGGGAGAGCAGATTGGGGGATTACTGGACCCCTTGCTCGGCTCACTTTATGGGTCTTAAGACTTTTCAGGTGAAGAAAACCGTTTGTGCAAAGCACTCATAATCTCTGTATTACCTTACAGTTTATTGCTCTTATCTGGGCCAAAAAAATTATAATATTTAAATATATATTGCATTTAGTTTGGCATGGAGGCACAAGCAGTATTAAAGGTAGGTTACATACAGAAACAGGGCCTGTCATTTTCCCTCAAACTTTCTGAAGCAAAGTGAAAGACAGCAAGCAGCCCTTGGAGGTGCGCAGTACACAGCCTCGCAATCCGAGCCAAGACAAACAATTCCAAGAAAATATAGCTTGGCTTTGTACAGGAGAAGGATACACAAAGTGCACTGTTCACAACCTGAGATATGCAGAAATTCAAAAAAAAAAAAAATAATAAATAGAAACGAACAACAACAAAATTTTTGTAGTAAAAATGTGATTTAGGGGCTTGGTGATAGATAGTGCCACAAGGGGTCCACAAATCACTAGCTCACAAAAGTACCCCTTATGCCAAAAGAATGCCCAAGTGTGACCAGAACAAGATATCTCCTGAGAATTTAGATTTCATAATGAAAATGAGCGCGGGACAGAAGGCAAATAATTCCAAACGCAGCGGTATCTTAGAATAACGTACTGCTGAAACCTTTTAATATGTTTTAAATAAATCCACTATTTAATTATTATTTTAGCAATAATTACATGTATGAGCAAAGAAAGTTTTACAAACAAATTTGAGAGATGCAAAAAAAAACCACCTCTTTCTGCGCCTCATCTGGATATGACCACATTTCTTAAATAAAATGTTCTAGATCTTTTTAACACTTACGGGTGTTTTGGATCGGAATTCTAGACATTTAAAGCTGCATTTTCAGGTTGTTGTTTTTTTTTTATGTAAAGAAATTCAAGCCATCGAATTTCGTGCACACATTACGCCTTTTAGTACAAGTCTCCCAGTGCTTTGTTTTTCAGTTGGAACTCTGACATCAATGGCAGGTGTTGCTTGTTTAATTGACCCGCTGCATTCTTTAGTTCACCTGACCATCGATTCCTACAAGGTGACAGATATTTATTTTTGTACAAAAGTAGAAAATGTCTCCAGAATGAGACAAAGCCTTTGGTAACTGTTTTTGCAGCAATCTGAAACTAAAAGAAGGGGAGAGAGCTCCTGGGATGTTTGATGAATGCACATTGCTTACCCCGGTGAAAATACTGAAACATCTAAAATAATATCTTAAATCCAAGCATTATGGTGCACTTTACTATCGTTCTCCAATTGGTAAAGTAAAAGAGAACAATATTAACAAAAACAAAATCATGTATTCCCACAGCCTGCTTGTCGTCCTCACAACAATAATAACAATAAACTGCTAACAAGACACTAAAGTGATAGGGAGATAGATAGGGCTTGAAGAAAGCGGACACATTCCAGCTGAACATGGTGGACGAGGGCCAACGTTTATAACGGAGTTGCATGAAGCGTCTCTGCTTATTAAAATTCAGTGCGCTTAAAAAGCTTGGCTGAGAGTCCTGGTAGTTGGATTGTGACATTGCTCAGCGTGCGGCAGTTTACCAGCAGTGATCTAGAAACACACATTTGTGGCACATATATCCAATAGAGGATATTGTGATTTTTTTCAAACAAACAATCATATTGTTTGTTGGGGGTGTTAAGGAGTTGAAGAGAGGGTCACAGGACAAGGAAGGTGTCCCTCCCAAAGGCTGGCCCCAAATTCAGTGTCTCTCACACACACACACCTCATCAGTGGAGAAGACAAACTCTCCAAGTATTAGCTGACACAAACACACACAAAAATTTTATTATTAAAAAATCAGATTGATTTAAAATAAGCTTGACATTCACACTATCAAAGTTATTCATTTTAAACAAAATGTGATTAGTTCCACAGATACAAAGATTATTGGGAGAAGGAAGAAGGAAAAAAAATAATATCAAATGAAGTCTAAGACTGATTGTGTAAGTACATATGGAACAAACTAGAAACCAGGTGAGTACAGACTGTTGGAACAAGACTGAAGTCACATCATGAGTTGAACAGGGCAGACGCCATTGTCACAGAGCAAATAAGAGTCATTGTTCCATTATGATCAAAGCCCAAATATACAAAGCAAACAGTAATACGGTATTAGAAGATCTAAATACAACTAGTTCCCAACACACATAAAAACAATAAAAAAAAGACGAGAAAAATAAATAAATAAAAATAAAATCGAGAATGTCCTCATGGCCCAATTCAGCTTTTTACAAGGTCACAGGAGGGAAAGCAATGGCTTTATTGACTATCCCAAGGCTTGCCGAACACTTCCACTTGATATCGGCCATGTCTGCTGTGAGGCTACTCCGTCCTCCAACTGTTATAAAATATTAGAAAGGGCGCTCTAACCACCAAAACCATTAGCGCTTAGTTAAGTGGCTATGGCGCAAGGAGTCCTGTGCGTCACCAGTCCATTTTTTGGAAAATATTCAAGGACGTCAACACAAGACAGGACTCCCAGCGCCCATATTTATATCATCTTTCAATTCAACAAATCAAATATCTACGACTGGCCAGTATGACTGTGTTATATGACCGTCAAGTTAGCATGCTCCTCATACAGTGTCGACTTATTATATTTTCTAAGGTTCTCCTTAAATGGACCACTAAAGTCACCCAGGCCATTTCATCTCAATCAAGTCTGAGTCTAATGGCCCTGAGTCAATGGTGTGAGTACAAAGGCCCTGTCCTCTTAGCCCTGCATTTTGTTTTTTTGCAATATTTACATTGTAGGGTTAAATCCGCCTCTAGAGGCTGCCTTAATGTTTTCCTATGGGGAAGCTTAGATGTGCATGCGCGGCAAGCTCTGTGCACACATCAATTTCTCAATGCTGCCCTATGAGGATCATTGATGGAGGAAACAATACCTCCTCCATAACGTGGTGAGAGGAGGAAAGGTAAGCAATGCAGAGGGAGCCTCAGCGTTGGAAAAGGTTTAATAAAACCCTTTAATCACACATGGGGTTTGGACCTATATTACTAGGAATACGGACACTAAAGCGTTTGGAATACAGGTACGTTCCTTTAAATCTTCAGACATGAGCCACCTTATCCCCAATGTCTAGGGGACCAGCAATCTTATCTCATGCAGAAGGCCTTCATAACGTTCTGCAGGTCCTTTCTCGATACCTATATTCAGAGTTACTGGTCTGGTGGAGACTATTCTTGTTCGGAGATACAGCTCATCAATTACTGGAGACAGAAGGATTTCCAGATAGACACCCCTGGCATTCTTTGGATAGATCCGTTTGCTGATGTGGTAAGAGAGTCGGTGATATCTGACGACCTTCCATAGATCTTCCGCCTTTATCTTGCAGTCTTTGCAACTCTGAAGTTTCTACAAAACATGTCTATTTGGATACTACTTAAATTTTGGATTGAAAGAGGAAGTTCCCATAGAAACGAAACGCAGAACTGTTAGAAGTTCCGAATTTCTGAACCGCTGCTTTCAGTTTTAATGAGTGAATGGTTACAAGTATTTGCAGTGTGAAAACACCAGAGTAAGAGTAAGCTCTTATGGTTTATCATAAAAAAGGTATTAGAAGTTTACCTGCGGTTTGCTGAACATATGAGAATTAGGAAAGAAGAAGCATGTGGGTTATGGAGTTCAAACACATCATGACAATGGACTGTGAATCGTGAGGACTGTTGTATTAGTGGCATGACAAAGGGGGCACCCCTAAAATAGGGCACAACACCTCAAAAAAAGATTGGTTTCCCATAATGCTAACTGGAGAAGGGTTACTTCATTGCCAGGACAAACCACGATATCGCAGAGTCTGATAAACATTACGGTATCTTTAGAGCAAACCTGACACGCGGGGGCAAGTAAAACCATCCATACCTTTTTACGTAAAAACACTTACAAATAGACTTGGAATTATTAGGAGCCCCTCCGGCTCCCAGCATTTGTCAAAAACTGATATACAGGTGAGATATAAGTTCTGCCTATAAACCCATTGAATAATATAGAAATCATATTAAATTACTGGGCATTGATCATGCTAATAAATTCAAATATTTAAAATCTATGATACTAGTTCTAGTATAATCAGCTACTGTGTTCTGTTCAGTCACTCACGGTTTGCAGGCTGCCAGCTGCACCTCCTCGCACTATGCAGAGGAAAGGGGCTGTTTGCATAACCGCTATCATGCACTAATAGGACGATCTAGTGTTAGTAAAACAATAGCATTAAATTAGAATGAAAAGGAGTAATCACAGCACTTGTTTGCCCAAGATTCTAATCCAGTGCCATTCTTTGCAAGTAGTGCTACTTTTCTGGGATCAGCAGATTTTACAAAACGGTATGACCAAGAGCAACAAGCACAAAGTGGTTATGGTGCCAGATGTCTGCAGTAGGTTGCCAAACTGTTGCAGTGTTGGGGTGGCTATGGTCCTTCCAGTCTGAGTTGGTGTGATAACGCAAGGTATATTTCTGCATTATTACGCCAGGCTTGCTTTTACAACTTTAGAGATAGGCTACATTTTTTACCTCTCCTACAGAAACCCCAAAAAAATTAAAATATTTTTTTATGAATTTTCTCCTAACACCATTTCCAGGAGCACAAACTTAGCCTCTGACTGCCAGAAAACAGAATAAAGTGCTTTGTTTCAGCGCACATGGAAGTAGATTGACATTGACCGCAGAGTGTGTGACGATGCATTTATTGTACATTGGGGTGTTCGTAGTTCAATGGGGAAGATTCCCACCCACAGAGAAACCAGAAGTTACAGACTTGCGATCCGCCTTACAGCAAGAGAAGAAAAAACAAAAAACCCTAGCGGGAACCTGCGAGAACTCGCAAACAGAGGGTAACAATACCCCAACGCCAGCGTCCGCAATCCGCGGCTACCACAGATATATCCCATTCACACGGACTCGGCGTGATAAGAAATTATATATATATATATTTTCTATATTAAATCAGCCATAAAATTAACCCTTAACGCTCAGTACAAATAACCAGATGGTGGTAGCATCAGATGTATGATAAACATTGCACGAAGGGTTAATATCCACCTGCAGCACCGGCTACTTTTGATTTATATTCAAAAAGTTTAGATGGAAAAAAAAATACGCGGGCAAAACAGCAGAGAGTTCATTGGCCAGCTGTACGGGGTGAGTTAGACCAGCACACCTGGTTGTTGGAGGATGATAGGAGTTGGAGTGGAAATCTGTTTGGAGGTCACAGGGGGGTCAGTTGGAGGTAAAGGGGAACACAGGAGTGTGATATTCAGAAAACGTCTTGTTACATTCCAGTTAGAGAGCATTTTAAACGAGAACATACAGCATCACGCCTTGCTCCCAGCCGCTCACACAGCCAAGCAAGACTTTGATCCCGGATCCTCTCAGAAAAAGGCATGGATCTCACAGGTTGGACTGATCGCAGTGAGAAGTTGGTGATTCACACATGATAACCGAAAATGCTGACACACGATTAGATAACAGGGAGACGTTGCATGCCTTCACTGAAAGAATGATATCACTGAGCCACAGAGCTGACAATCTACAGTACGTTTACTGAACTTTAAAAGTCAGTGGAACCCGTCAGGCTTCACAAATGTTATGTTTTCTCAATAGAGATAGTGAACCTGTAATATACGTGTGGTACACTATACGCAGAGTACCAGTAATTGTACAGCGCTACGGAATCTGATGGCGCTATATAAAATAATATCTGACCCGGTCACTATACACAGTGCGCTACATGCAGAGTACCAGTAATATCAGACTCGATCACTATAAACAGTGCGCTATACGCAGAGTACCAGTAATATCAAACCAGGTCACTATACACAGAGTGCACTATATGCAGAGTACAAGTAATATCAGACCCGGTCACTATACACCCTGTGCGCTATACGCAGAGTACCAGTAATATCAGGCCCCAGTCATTATATACAGAGTACCAGTAATATCAGACCCCAGTCGCTATACACAGTGTGCTATACGCAGAGTACCAGTAATATCAGACCAGGTCACTATACACAGCGTGCGCTATATGCAGAGTACCAGTAATATCAGACCCCAGTCACTATACACAGTGCGCTATACCAGAGTACCAGTAATATCAGACCAGGTCACTATACATAGAGTGCGCTATACACAGAGTACCAGTAATATCAGACCCCAGTCGCTATACACAGTGCGCTATACACAGAGTACCAGTAATATCAGACCCCAGTCGCTATACACAGTGCGCTATACACAGAGTACCAGTAATATCAGACCCCAGTCGCTATACGCAGAGTACCAGTAATATCAGACCCCAGTTGCTATACGCAGAGTACCAGTAATATCAGACCCCAGTCGCTATACGCAGAGTACCAGTAATATCAGACCAGGTCACTATTCACAGTGTGCGCTATACGCAGCGTACCAGTAATATCAGAGCCCAGTCACTATACCCAGTGTTTATGTCCAGAGCCCAGTCACTATACCAAGTGTTATGTCCAGACCCCAGTCACTATACCCAGTGTTTATGTCCAGACCCCAGTCACTATACCCAGTGTTTATGTCCAGACCCCAGTCACTATACCCAGTGTTTATGTCCAGACCCCAGTCACTATACCCAGTGTTTATGTCCAGAGCAAAGTCACTATACCCAGTGTTTATGTCCAGAGCAAAGTCACTATACACTGTGTTATGTCCAAAGCCCAGTCACTATACACAGTGTTATGTCCAGACCCCAGTCACTATACACAGTGAGTGTTATATGCAGAGTGATAATATCACAGCAATATGAGTGCCCCCTTTATACTGCTTGGGATCCTCTCCTTTTACCCAACAAGTATTTTTATTTAAGAAAGCCAGGGGTTTAACTCCATTTTCTGCAAGGACAACACGAGATACATTGTAACTGACCGCCAGTGAGATCCGCAGCACAGTCTTCTCTCTGGCACTGAAAGGGTTAATGTGATCACCTTATTCATTGTTAATAATAGCATTTCTGTGGCCAGGTCCCTGGAGAATGGGATCACAGGGAAACGAATTACCATGATAAAGGAAGCCATCCTGCCCCAGGCTAGGGCACAGCAGATGGACAGAGGGGCAGGTTTAGGGAAACTAACAATACAGGCAGGTTAATAGTGCTGTATAGGGAGCTAGCCCACTCTATACATTCCCATTTAACCCTCACAGTGCCGGGATCCAATGCTAAATCCTACTGGTTTTATTTATATAAATATTGTATTTATTGAAAACAGAGAAAGTGACTATTCTTTCTACAATAACAACAATTTTCTGCTAAACTTCACATCCTCCAGGATATTGCATCAGACTACCCCCTCACCATGTACAGACACCCCCTGACCCTGCACAACCCACACTACCACCATGCCCTTACCCTGCACACACCCCACCATGCACAACCCCATGCACAGAGCCCTGACCCTGCACAACCCCACCATGCACCCTTGCCCTGCACCCCACCACCGGCTGGGGCCCTGACCCTGCACAAGCCCCCTCACCATGCACAGAGCCCTCGCAATGTGCACCAGGGCCTGCTGCATTGCAGAGCTGACCTGCACAACCACCCCTCACCATGCAGAGCCCCTGACCCTGCACAGCCACCCCTCACCATGCACAGAGCCTGACCCTGCACAACCACCCCTCACCATGCACAGAGCCCCTGACCCTGCACAGCCCCCACACTATGCAGAGCCCTGACCCTGCACAACCCCCCCCCTCACCATGCACAGAGCCACTCTGACCCTGCACAAAACCCCCCTTGCACAACCCCACCATGCACAAACCTCCCCTCACCATGCAACCCCAACCAGACAAACCCCCAGCAGACAATCCCTGACCCTGCACAGACACCACCATGCGAAACACCCCTGACCCTGCACCAACCCCCTCCTCACCATGCGGGCACCCCACTCTGCACAGACCCCCCTTATATACACTGCACAGTCCCCCCCTGACCCTGCAATTCACAAGGCAGTGGGACATTAACATAGTAACCCTCCCAGCCCAGCAGTCAATCAGCAGCCACTTACCTCCAGGATGTCATCCAGGTCCTGCTTGCTGAGACACTTGTGTTTGCGGAGTATCTGGATTTTGTAGTTGTCATAGTCTTTGGTGGCTTTTTTCCAGTTGGGCTCCTCCAGTACCTGGAAGATAGCGGCCCCTATGGACAGGTAGAAGATGATAGCAGAGGCCAGCAGGGGACCCCTGTCTACCATGGTAGCAGCACTACCCTCTCTGCAGCAGCTGCAGCCAGAGTCCCAGGAGCAGGGGAGAGAGTTACATGGGGGGAGGGGAGGGGGGAGCTCAGAACAAAAAGCCCCCTGTGTGCTGGCTGAGAGACCCTCTGTGACAGCTGCCCATGGGACAGGGAGCTCAGAGCTCTGGGGCTCTGCCAGGAGGGGGGCAGCAGGTCCCTGTCAGGGGGGCCATGCAGGCTGGCTGGCTGGTGGTTGTGGGAGCACTGTTTGGGTGTCTGCTCTTAGCTGGGAGGGAGACTGAGGATGTTACTGACTCAATGCTGGAGTCTCACTCACTTCATATTTGTAGTAAAAGGGGGAAGTGTTAAAGCTGAGTGAGCAAGGAGGAGATAGGGTGAGGATCCGCCCCAGGGAAGGGAGACAGGATCACATTAAAATCCTGCCAAGTACTGAGTGCATGGGCTTGGCTACCTGGGGCTGGCTGCCTGGCATGGGGCAATGGGAGCAGACACTTAGAACTTTCTATGGACTTCAGAAAGTAGTCAGGTATTATTAATAAAAGGCAATAGCTTATCAAGCAACTCCCATTAGGAGGAGCCAGCTGCTCTAGGCGCCTCTTGGCTATGGAGAGAAGTTCTGATCTTCTACTGTGCTGCATAACTCCTAGTATGCACAGCCACTCAGCTCTTACAAGGTTCATGAGCCCTAACTACTTGGGATCCATCACTCCCATCATGGTCAGGCAGCCTTACACCACATCACAATCAGCTGCTGATAAGGATAACGTTTGTCACCGAACCTGCAGACTGCAACTCCCATTAGGCATGTGAGACTCAGTATAGTATGTGTTAGACATAGAGGGTGTTTAAAAAGTCCAATTCGAGGGAAAGGTTCTAAGTGAAACGTTCGGTTTGTTCACATAGTGAGTGGGACACCTTTGGAATTTATCATCAGATTGTTATTTACAATATCTTTAAATGTAGCCATGCTGTGTGCCAGGCTCAGAATCTATATCTTCTCTATCTGGTCTCCTGCCAGGTGTATTGGCTCCTACCAACTCTACTGGAAGGCTATTCCACAAATCAACTACATTCTCACAACACAATACATCATTATCAAGGCTTTATCATTTCACAAATGCTAAAGAAAAAAGTGTTTTATAAGAAAAAGTCTGAACTCTCTCGATACCACATGAGATATGATGGAGAAGGAGGGGGAGTAAGTGTAAATTTGAGTCATATCCTACATTTTACACATTGGTTTTTGGAGTGAGTACACGTTAGATTTTAGTACATTATTTTAGAGCTTCTAAAACCAAGTTGCACATTTTAAGCTAAAATTTCTGTTTTTTCACCTTAATAATAGTCACAAGTTTGGCTGTTTAGCAAGAAGTTTGCAATTAAGTTTTGTCCCCAATTCTCTTTAATGTGACGTTTGGTGAATAAGCTCTCCTATCTACAAACTATGTGTGACATACTAGTGAGACAGCTGCAAAAATGTGAAGGTAGATTGGATTATTGTACTCTGTCCGAGATGGTGTATAGTCAGATAGGGATATTGACTGACTTAGGAAACTCCACGTTTAAGGACAAAATGCCCAATTCTGGAACTAAAAACTGCAGTGAAACTGTTAGCAATAGTGTAAAGACAATAAGATTTTTTTACACCTCGAAAATGTAACCGACATTGGGAGAAAAAAATATCAAAGTAATAGTATGGTGTGTTTAGATATCATTTTTCTGTGATTTTCCTCTCACATACATATATAACATTGGACCCTATGTAGGACCACACTATCCCAAGGACTACACACAGGGTATAAAGAGGGGGAAACTATTATAGAAAATCAAATGTCAGAGCATTCCCTTAGTATTAACAGATTAGCGTTACAATAAAATCAGGTTTCAGGGAAAAATGATTAATACTGATTGTATTTAGGTGATTCAGCATAGGAAACTCATTTTATTGCGTTAGAAGTTAATAGATGGAGTAATAGTAATTACAAAGACCATAACTCTCCTGCCCTAGGCAGCAGGTAAACAGTATGCCCTCCCTGTATCAGCAGTCTATCCAGCAACTGGAGCTGGGAGTTAGTTTTCAGTCAATAGAGCAAAATGGGTGAAAATCATCACTTTTTTTAGATTAAACCATTTTTGTTCCTGGGCCTAAATAACTTTATGAGCCTCATGTACACAACATGAAGATGTTGCCCTGTAATATGAATGATTCAAACTACTGGAGTGAAATCAATGTATTAATAAATAGTTTGAGCCTTGATTAATTCATTGGTTTCCTGGATGCTTTAGTAAAGCCTGCCTATATACATAGAAACATAGAATGTGACGTCAGATGAGAACCATTCTGCCCATCTAGTCTGCCCAATTTTCTAAATACTTTCATTAGTCCCTGCCATTATCTTATAGTTAGGATAGCCTTATGCCTATCCCACGCATGCTTAAACTCCTTTACTGTGTTAACCTCTACCACTTCAGCTGGAAGGCTATTCCATGCATCCACTACCCTCTCAGTAAAGTAATACTTCCTGATATTATTTTTAAACCTTTGTCCCTCTAATTTAAGACTATGTCCTCTTGTTGTGGTAGTTTTTCTTCTTTTAAATATAGTCTCCTCCTTTACTGTGTTGATTCCCTTTATATATTTAAATGTTTCTATCATATCCCCCCTGTCTCGTCTTTCCTCCAAGCTATACATGTTAAGATCCTTTAACCTTTCCTGGTATGTTTTATCCCGCAAGGGGTTAACGCACCACCTGCAGGGGGATTGTAGTGGGGGTGTTAGGTTGTTACACAATACAATACAATAATTTGTATTATCTTTGTCAAAATAAAATTTCAGCACTGAATACATCATGTAAGTGGTTATCGATGGAGATATAAATCCATAGCGAAGATTTGGAGGGCCCCGCCTAAAATTACAAAAACAGCACATTTTCCAATCAAATGCAAAATCTCGCAAAGTGAAATCTAGAGACTTGAAAGATAAACAGTTTCAGGCAAGCAGTGAACTTATTTAAATGTTTCACTGGGATTTTTAATTAACATTTGATAAACAGTAAAGGTGTAAAGTTTCCCACAAGGAGAGAATGGGTGCCTCCCGGGGGCCTCCCCACCCCCTGTTCATTGTTAATGAAATCTGGCAAGGAGTTGCTGATGTCCTCACGGTTTCTTCAAATAAACCTGATCTTTCAAAATGCTCTCGATATCCCACCCCCCTTTCGCTGTCCCCCCTTTTCACCCAGGTAACAATTTTAGCACATTCCTTGTTTAAATGTCCTCCTGCCTTGTACACCTTTTCCATCGCTTGATGTCTCTACTGCTAAACATCTTATCCAACGCATCGCCAGGCTCCAATATTGCTATCCCACCCATTAGCTTTACTCCTCACGACATTAGCCTTCCTTCGTCTTATCACCCAGTATTGCAACCCATTAGATTTTATTCAAATTCCTTACTGCGGCATTTAAATCCCACTAAATCCATGTGCTTTTCTACCTCTCCTCATCCATCTCCCTCTGTCTCCACTCCCATACCTCAATAACCATCACTCGCCTCCGCCATGCGCCCCGTCCTGCTTCCATTTCCCTCTTACAGGTTATTTGCTAAGTGGGGTAACAGTAGAAATCTGTTCATTAAGAAGCACTTAGCAAAAAATAACTGTGAACAGACTTAGCAACCGTGAAGAATGTTAGTCTGCAAGGTCTTGTACGGAATTGGCATGAATCAAAAGAGGTATTGAATCACAGGAAATTATTTTACAAAATTTATTACGAATTACAAGACACCACTAAGGATGGGACAGCAATTGCACACCCCCGTTCTAGGAACATCAAGACATGAATAAAGGAAATTAAAGAATGTACAAGAAAGACTAGAAGTGGCCTCTTAACAGGGCTTTATGCCTTATACATTATACCTCTTCTATAGCAGGATTGTACGGAGGGCAAGAGATCATTCATAACTGCCCTAAAGGAGATTTCACATATAGCAGCAGATAGAGTTCTTTACATTAACAATAATAAAAATCTTCTGCTTTGAGTGATGTAAGTCTGTGATATCTTTTTAGGAACTCTCCCTCTATATGGCTTAGTGATGAATGTATCTGGATATTATTTACCAGATTTAATTTCCTGCATCACTGATGGTCACAAAATAGAAAGAAAGACAAGTATTCTTGGTGAAAATGGTGATCCAATAGCGTGAGCCTGGCCGTGAAAACGAGTGTGTGGCCTGCAGATAGTGTGGACTGCCGTGGGAGCCTCCAGGGTCCATGATTTAGTGAGCAATCACAGCGCTGCCTTGTCTGTGACCGCAGACACGTTGCTAGTTCAGACATGCCATCGCGGCTGCATCACATAATAACTCAAATGGTTAACTAGCGATTTGCCAGACCATGAGATTCCGAGTGCTTGGCTGAGTCCACAATCACGTTAACATGAGTCTTTAAGAAACACAAACCTGCAGAACTTGCTAATCACTGACAAACATTCTGTTGTTTGGTTACTGTTTGAGATTTTATAACTAGGTTTTTGGCATACGTTTTGCAAGTCAGCTTTCACCTGACCATTGAAATAAATAAAAATGATTTAGTTTTTTAGCGGTTTGTTATTTTTTCTTATTCATATTTCAACACTACAATACACTTGTTGTGCCACCAAAACTTTTGTGGTGAGACCGGCACACAGAGCAGCATGGCCAAGACTTCACAAAGATCTCACGCAATGACACAAGAGTGGTTTGTACTAGGCTTGGATGGACACCCCACCACTGCTGGTCTTAGCCACTTAGTTGTATTTGAATAAAAACAGCACAGAGCAATAGCCCCGATGATAAGGCCCGGTGGGCCCCATGATTCTGTTCAGTCCCCTCCATAGAGTCATTGCGCATCCCTTGATGGTGGCCCTCCACATGTGCACACATGTCTTGGCATACAGTTTTAATTACATTATACTAACGATACTGATAGCAAATTCATTGAGCGAACATTGTTTGTGCTTTCCAATTATCACTTGTGAAGTTTTTCACCTCCGCCCAAACGCAATCAGCACTGAGATATCAAGTACTTCAACGATGGAAATTCTGTATTCTGACTGTGAGTGGAGAGTCTTGCAATGCATGCCTGTGATAGTGCTTGGAAACTCTCTGTACTCAGCCCAACCCGGAAGTCTAATTCTAGCTGGCTTTCAGTTTTGCCAGCACATTGTCTGTATGGGAGAGGGGTTAGAATGATTGTGAAGGACCTTTCCAATTATCCTCGGCCGGCCATCAGTGCTTTAAATCCACCTTTGTCTCTCCAGCTGCTCCTATCATGCTAAGTCAGCCGATTGGCAAAGTCAGTCCACAACAGCTACAATGCAA